GCGCAGAAAGGGCATGAGTACACCACAACAGTACTCAGTAAGTGACAAGCCTAACCTCGGTCGGATAGTGGCGAGGAAGGTTAGGGCCCTACTGAGGTTAAATGAAAAACAAAGTATAACAGTGTAGGATAAGACAATATAATCAAGTGCAACAGTAAGAAATAACATAGGATATAAGGTACAACACAACTATGACAGTAACAAGGAAGTCACAGGAAAGAATACAACTTAATACAGAGAAAACAACCAGGGGACCTTCCAGGATACCGTCCTGTAGTCCCAAATATAACTATCCAGTGGATCTCCCGGGATACCGTCCCGTAGTCCATCATATATATCCGAAGGATCTCCCGGGGTCCCGTCCCGTAGTCCATCATATATATCCGAAGGATCTCCCAGGATCCCGTCCCGTAGTCCAACTAACAGTGCGTGGGGATCGATCGGAATCCCGATCTGTAGTCCCAAATGTAAATACCCAGTACTAGGGGAATCTACTGGGTGCAGTCCCGTAGTTCCATATAACTGTGCAGGGGGAATCTGCCGGAATCCCACATCCATAGTCCCAAATAAACATACAAGGGGGATCTACCGGAATCCCACATCCGTAGTCCCAAATAAAAATACAAGGGGGAGCTACCGAAATCCCACATCCGTAGTCCCAAACGTAAATACACAGCAGCAACACAAAGAATATTCAGCAAATGTAACCTTCATATCAAGGCAAACAGGTATTACTAGCCTAGCATGCTGCACATAATTCAGGTAAAGCAGTTTGAGCAAATAAAGCAATTAAGTCACTTAGACATGCTTCCCTAAGCTAACAACAGGCTTAAATTGCAAGTATTAATAACAGGAGAAGAAACACAATTTTTAATTACTTAGCAAAAAATCGGATTTTCAACAATTAGCACAAGTACGCACTCGTCACCTCACGTACAATGCATTTTAAATATCAACAATACCAAATCCTAAGGGGAAGTCCCCCCCAAAAGGGTAAGCAAGCCACTTACCTCGAACCGGCTCAAAATCAACCTGAAACCACGCTCTTGCCACGAGTACTCGACTCCAAATGGCCCAAATCTATTCAATTAAATTGCATAATGTAAATAACACTTCAAGTAACTAATTCAGCTAATTAATTATAAGCTAATACGCGAAATTAGGTAAAATAACCAAAACGCCCCTTGGGGCCACGCCCGGAATCGAGTAAAACTTATATTTTCAGAATCCTCATACTCCCACGAGTTCATGCATACCAAAACTATCCAAATCCAATGTCAAATTCCCAATCAAAACTCGAATTCTAGCTCTAAGAACTTTCTTCCAATTTTTCCCCAATTTTCATCTCCAATCCAAAATTAAATGACAAAACTAAGATTAGATTATAAGAATACAACTAGAAAGGGANAAAATAATTTTAAAATAAAAAACAAAATTAAAAAAATAATAAATTAACTATTCAAATTGGGGATTAGTTTCAAGTTGGAGTTTTAAAATTATCTTAAATAAAACGAAAATAAAGACATAAAAAATATAGATATCTTATATAAAAAAACGAAAAATAAATATATAAAAAAATAACTACCCATTCAAATTGGGTGGGAGTAGTTTCAAGTTGGAGTTTTTAAATTATTTTAAAATAAAAGGCAAAAAAATAGCTATAAAAAAAGAAAAAAGAGAAGAAAAACTGCCCATTCAAATCGGGAAGTAGTTTCAAGTTGGAGTTTTAAAATAATTTTAAAATAAAAAATAAAATTAAAAAAATAATGAATTATCAATTCAAATTTGGGAGTAGTTTCAAATTGAAATTTAAAAAATTATTTTAAAATAAAAAAAAGAAAATAAAGAAATTAAAAACTTTTACAGAAACTATTAAATAAAGTAATATGCTAATAAATATTTCGATTGAAAATCTAATAATATTAAATATTAGATGATATAATAAAGAAAAATACATAACAAAAAATTTATTCAATGCGCTCCCTGTATAAGTCCCGATAGTTTAACAGAGATTTTATTCATTAAAATTTAGATAATATTATTAAGAACAACAGAATAAAATTTAAAACAAAAAAATATTTTATCCAATAAATTATATATCTTCTCATATATTACAAAAAGAAAGCGAATACTAAACAATGGCTAATATAATAAATAAAAATATAGAACATATATATATATATATATATATATATATATATATTACTTTATTTGAATTAATAAATATAGATACTTTATTATTAAATATAATTAAAAAAATGAAAAATAAATATATAAAATAATAACTACCCATTGAAATTGGGTTGGAGTAGTTTCAAGTTGGAGTTTATAAATTATCTTAAAATAAAAAAGCAAAAAAAAAAAATTAGCTATAAAAAAAACGAAACAAAGAGAAGAAAAACTACCCATTCAAATTGGGATGTAGTTTCTAGTTGGAGTTTTAAAATAATTTTAAAATAAAAATTATTAAAAGGAGAGGAAAAAGCCCTCTCCTTAAGCCAAGTGGCAACCTAAAAAAATCCCACATGGCATAATTAGTTATTTAATTTATAATTAGTTATTGGTTATTATTTTTGAATTTAAATATATATAAAAAACGAAAATAATAAAATAAAATAAAAACTACCATATATATATATATATGTATGTATATATTAATTGATTACTTTATTTGAATTAATAAATATAGATATCTTATAATTAAATATAAAAAACGAAAAATAAATATATAAAAAAATAACTATCGATTCAAATTGGGTGGGAGTAGTTTCTAAATTATTTTAAAATAAAAGGCAAAAAATAGCTATACAACATGAAAAAAGAGAAGAACTACCCATTAAAATCGGGAAGTAGTTTCAAGTTGGAGTTTTAGAATAATTTTAAAAAAAATGAAATTAAGAAAATAATGAATTACCAATTCAAATTTGGGAGTAGTTTCAAATTGGAGTTATAAAAATTATTTTAAAACAAAAAAAACGAAAATAAAGAAATTAAAAAACTTTCAGAGAAAAATATTAAATAAAGTAATATGCTAATAAATATTTCTATTAAAAATGCAATAATATTATATATTAGATGATATAATAAAGAAAAATACATAACAAAAAATTTATTCAATGCGCTTGTCACGACCCAATTCCCAACCTGGTCGTGATGGCGCCTCTCGTGAAGACAAGGCCAGCCAACTAACCCAAATCCTTTCATTAACAATTATCAAACATAAATAAATAGAAGATACAACTTAATGGCATTTAAAATTTGTTAATTTATACCCGACCGGGGTGTCACAAGTCACGAGCATCTAAAGAAACCTGAACACAACTACAGGGCCAATAATAATATATAAAGAAAAATTNCACACACACACACACACACACACACACACACACACACACACACACACACACATATATATATATATATATATATATATATATATATATATATATTAATTGGTTACTTTATTTGAATTAATAAATATAGATATATTAAATATAATTAAAAAACGAAAAATAAATATATTAAATAATAACTACCCATTCAAATTGGGTGGGAGTAGTTTCAAGTTGGAGTTTATAAATTATCTTAAAATAAAAAAGCAAAAAAAAAATTAGCTAAAAAAAACGAAAGAAAGAGAAGAAAAACTACCCATTCAAATCGGGATGTAGTTTCAAGTTGGAGTTTTAAAAGAAATTAAAAAAAAATAAATTACCTATTCAAATTGGGATTAGTTTCAAGTTGGAGTTTTAAAATTATTTTAAAATAAATAAAACGAAAATAAAGACATAAAAAAACTTTCAGAGAAAAATATTTAATAAAGTAATATGCTAATAAAATTTCTATTAAAAATGCAATAATATTATATATTAGATGATATAATAAAGAAAAATACATAACAAAAAATTTATTCAATGCACTCCCTGTATAAGTCCCGACAGTTTAACAGAGATTTTATTCATTAAAATTTAGATAATATTATTAAGAACAACAGAATAAAATTTAAAAAAAAATATTCCATCCAATAAATTATATATCTTCTCATATATTACAAAAAGAAAGCGAATACTAAACAATGGCTAATATAATAAAGAAAAATATAGAACACACACACACGCGCGCGCACACACACACACACACATATATATATATATTACCTTGTTTGAATTAATAAATATAGATATCTTATAATTAAATATAATTAAAAAACGAAAAAAAATATATAAAGTAATAACTACCCATTGAAATTGGGTGGGAGTAGTTTCAAGTTGGAGTTTATAAATTATCTTAAAATAAAAAAGCAAAAAAAAAAAAAAATTAGCTATAAAAAAAATGAAACAAAGAAAAGAAAAACTACCCATTCAAATCGGGATGTAGTTTCAAGTTGGAGTTTTAAAATAATTTTAAAATAAAAAACGAAATTAAAAAAATAATAAATTAACAATTCAAATTGGGGATTAGTTTCAATTGGAGTTTTAAAATTATCTTAAAATAAATAAAACGAAAATAAAAACATAAAAAACTTTCAGAGAAAAATATTTAATAAAGTAATATGCTAATAAAACTTTCTATTAACAATGTAATAATATTAAATATTAGATGATATAATAAAGAAAAATACATAACAAAAAAGTTATTCAATTCGCTGTATAAGTCCCGTTAGTTTAACAGAGATTTTGTTCATTAAAATTTAGATAATATTATTAAGAACAATAGAATAAAATTTAAAATAAAAAAAATATTTCAACGGTAATAAATAATAAATCTTCTCATATATGACAAAAAGAAAAACGAATATTAAATATTGGTTAATATAATAAAAAATATATAGAACAAAAAAGTTATTCACTAACTATATAAGCACCTTTGATTTAATAGAGATTTCTTTTTTGGTAATTAACCTTTATATTAATCACCAGTAATATTTACAAAGCTTCATAGTTAGCTATCACAGCATAACTATCATATGTACATTACAATCTCATGCTCTTCCTATCTAGCTTTTAAAATCTATATCCCTGCACTAATTCAGCTATACTAGAAGGAGCTCGTGCGCAACAAACATACACTGTATCCTTAGCTATCTTCTCCCAGCTCTTATTTTTCTTTTCAAAAATTCTCTGATTTCTCTCTATCCATATATTATGTACCATTTCTGTGTATAGCATTTTGAATAGTTGTGCTTCTCTTGATCTCCCTTTAGCTCTTCTAATCACTTCTTGCACATGTTGCTCCCAGTTAGTTCCTGTTAGGCTTAGTTTCTGTGCCCAGTGCATCACTCTCTTTAGTACCTCCCTTGTGTAGCTACACTCTACATAAATGTGATCTCTTGTTTCTTCTTGTCCCTGGCATAAGCTGCATTTGTCTTCTCCCTGAATCCCCCATTTCTTTAACCTTTCCACTGTAAGTAGTCTGTTCTGCAGTTGTAACCACAAATTGAACTTTGCTTTTGGCCTTGCAGCATTGCCAAACATCAGACATTTCCACATGACTCTAGGTTGATCTTCCAACAGCTTCAGGTATATCTGCTTTATGATCCCTTTTCCCTTACTTATCTGCACATTGTTTTTTTCTATGATATGCCTTGCTTCCAGTATTTTCCTCACCATCCAGCTTGCCTGTGTTGGTACTTTAACTTGTTCCATCTGCTGCCCTTTTATATAGTATGCATGTATCCACTTTATCCACATTCTATCTTCCTTCTGTGCCACATTCCAGTAAAGCTTGCCTATGGCAGCTTTATTCCACAGCTTCATATTTATGATATTCCATCCACCACTGCTTTTTGGGCTGCATACCCTATCCCAACTGATCAATGATTTTTTTGAAATAGTATTGTTTCCAGTCCAAAGATAGCTTCTGCAGAAGCTTTNTAAATGTTTTCATATATGACAAAAAGAAAGCGAATATTAAATATTGGTTAATATAATAAAAAATATATAGAACAAAAAAGGTATTCACTAACTATATAATACCTTTGATTTAATAGAGATTTCATTATTGGGTATATCGTATTGACAAGTAATATGACAATTGAATTTTATTAAAGCAATACAATCTAATAGGATCAAACAAGCCCGATCATAATTTAATTTAATTAATATTTTTAATACTATGCATAGCTAATATGTGAAACAAATGACCCTAATTGTTTTTTTTTTGTTGCTAATTCCATTTTGAAAAAGAATTTTAAAAACACTTATTTTGCAAACTACTACTGAGTTTCAGATCTTATCCAATCAAATAATTTCCAATCAAATTAATAGGGAGAAAGAAAAGGACAAGGACGACACAGGAAATACCCTCCTACCTGCTGGAGACTTTTCAACAAAACTATTAGCAGCCATCTTTGTTGACAGCCATTTGAAACCCTAAAATCTTATTCCAAAAATTTCATCGTTAACAGTTTCTCTCTCTATTTTCCGTCATAGTGAGCTCGCCACTACGTCCAACTCCGCCGTTCTCGGGGATCGCCGGAGCGAGAGACTACTGCGTCACGTACGATTCAATCTGAAATCAGCCTCAGCTCCAAAATGGCGAGTCCAGTCGAATCATTAAATTCCATTGCTTCGTCAATCTCAACATCATCCACCAAACGCCGAATTCAGATTTTCCGAAATGAGATTCCTAACATTCTCAGTAATTCTGGTCAGCATTTCCTCTCTTATGTTTTATAATAAGTAAGACAGTATTTTCAATCTGAAAGTATCATCAAAACATTGCCCGTACGCTCTAAATTTCACCATTGCTTTGTACATTATCTAACACTGGAAAATTAATCCGGAAAATGTTCTCTCAAGGTATAATATTTTCCATGGGGAACATTTCTCCATAGCGGTGTACCCATAGAGGAGAAAGATATGGTTCTTTCACAAATTTTTCAAAGTAGTTTGATAGTTATTTTTTTGATAACCGTGGTATCTGGGCGTGCTTGCATGCACCTTGACTAAATCCATGCGATACCTGTTAGCTCTGTCCACGGTCCACCAAGTCTTGAATAGACGGAAAGAAATCACCTAGTATTTTTGCCTCCGGCTCGAATTTAAACCCGAGACTCCATGGTTCTCAACCCACTTCATTGATCACTAGGCCACACCCCGGAGTGCTTTTATAGTTTATGAAAGCTAATATTTCTGCTTTTTGTTGAGTAAAAGTTCTGTTGTTCAACAATTGAATGGGAATATGTGAACAAGAGGCATCTAACTCTGATAATCCTTAGACTGAAATATGCATCCCTACAAAGAACAACCAATCATCTATAAGAATATATTAAGGGAAAAGGTTTCAACAATCTGTTAGAAAGTGTTCTCAGTTGACTGAATGCTCTGCCGTTTCTTTTGTTCCTCATCACAATTGAAAAGTTATATGCATGTGAAGTAAATGAATCACCAGTTTCTAGCGTCCCTAAGGATTCAAATGGTGTGTGATGGAAGCACCTGTTTTCTATATTTGGAAAAGTTGCTTTATGTTTGGCACATTTAGTGGGCGTTTGGACATAACAACAACAACAACAACCCAGTATAATCCCACTTAGTGGGGTCTGGGGAGGGTAGTGTGTACGCAGACCTTACCCCTACCCTGGGGTAGAGAGGCTGTTTCCAAATAGACCCCCGACATTCTTCCCTCCAAGAACTTCCCGCCTTGCTCTTGGGGAGACTCGAACTCACAACCTCTTGGTTGGAAGTGGCGTTTGGACATAAGAATTGTAAAATTCCAAAAAGAAGTGAAATTTTTTTTCAAGTGAAAATGGTATTTGAAAATTAGAGTTGTGTTTCGACATGAATAAAATTTTGGGTTGTTTTTTAATTTTTGTGAGTGATCGAAGTGAAAATTTTGAAAAACAACTCTTTGGAATATTTCAAATTTTCGAAAAATTTCAAAATTTATCTTCAAGTGAAAATTGAAAATTTTATGGCCAAACGCTAATTTCGAAAAAAGTGAATTTTTTTCAAAAAAAGTGAAAATATTCTTATGTCTAAACGGGATCTTAATTAAAATTGAGATTATTGATGAAAAAAAGGGACACCAATGCCAGCTTGGTGCGTACATTTGATGGTTTGATTGGTTATTTGCTCATCCTGGTTAATTATTTGCTCATATTTATTTAGATGGAAGGGTCATAGCATTCTCTTTTACGTTAGATTTGGGTTGAGACATTTGGAAAATAGACCATGGTTTAAGAAGCTTAATGCAGTAACTAGTATGGGATATGGTTTATGTTACCATTGTATTGCAGATTTTTAGTATATATATGTGTTCCTTTTAGCCTTCAATGTGACATTTGAACTTTGAAGCATCTTTAACTTACAGGTGTTATAGAAGAGGGGAATGCTTGAGGAAACTAGCATTTCTGTTTTCACATCCGTTCCATGTTATGCATTGTTAAGATCTCCACATAGAATTGAATTGTAACTGAATCATTATTTGAACAAGTTCTGCCGGGGCTTTTGTCGGATGATATTGCATTCCTCAATCAAGTCTTTAAACTTCCGACATCTAGATGACTCACTGCAGCACCCACACTGTAATTCAGCATAATCTAAACAATGATCAAATAGAGATACAACAACAACAACAATAAACCAGTGATTTTCCACAAGTGGGGTTTGGGAAGGGTAAGATGTATGTAGCCTTACCCCTACCCTGGAAGGGCAGAGAGGTTGTCTCCAATAGACCCTCGGAGAAAGAATGGAATGATCAAATAGAAATGATTTTGGAATTTGATTTTATAGACATTCAAGTTTCATTTTATGAAGTTAGATGATAGAACTCTTATTAGTTTAACAAAGAATTACTGAACAAATCAGAAAAAAAAAGTTACTCAATGAATCAGGGGATGGTTATGCCAATGTTTGTTATGATAGCATGATAAACTAGCAGCCATTACAGGATAGGAAACGAGAGACTCTACAATGGAAAATCAGACAATTTGCTGTAGGATAGAATTGTTTGCTTTACCTCGTTTAACATCATCTTTGTAGCCTTCTTTTGGTTTGGGGGGGGGGGGTAGGGGGAGGGGTTGGGCTGATAGAGTAATCTGTCTTGTTGTTTTATTCATTATGTATGCATTTTCAATTCCCACTCATACATGTTCAAATTAGTGAAAAAAATCACATGACTGCTGGTAATATATGTCTTCCCTCTACCATAAGGTGAAATGGGTATAAAGGTTGTTAGGCCACTCCTCTACAAGCAAATTGTTAGTAATAACTATTGATTGCACAGGGCTGACATATGGACATGGTAGAGTTAGTGCAATGTTGCTTATGTGACATATCCGACTCTTGATAGAAGTTGTAAACATTTTGGATTTTGAATGGGTAGCGGGTAAACACTCTTTTGTGGTGCATTTCTAGAAGTTCTTTTGGTGAAGTATTCCTATTATAGATTGAATTAATATTTACTCTTTCTAATTTCAGGATGTAATTTTTATGTTAAGCTCACTTTTGGCTTTGAATTCTACAGAGATGACAACTGAAATTGCTTCCCTGCTGGTAGAAGTAGTTTTCAAAACAGTATTTATTTATGATGATCGAGGATCAAGGGCCGCAGTGGATGATGTGATTATCAAAGCATTGGGTGAAATTGCTTTTATGAAAGCTTTTGCTGGAACCCTTGTACAATTCATGGAAAAACAGTTCAACTTCCAATCCTATATAGGGTGCCACAGACTCTTAAGTTGGTCTTGTCTTCTCCTAACTAATAGCCAGTTTTCCTCTGTATCAAAGAACGCAGTTTGTCGACTAGCGCAAGCACAAGCATCAGTCTTGCATATTGGCATGCAAGGCTCGCCCCATGTCAGAAGGACCTGCAAAAAAAGCTTATTCTTTTTGTTTTCAAAGGTTTCATCTCGTTTGACTAATCTGCAGGTCTTGATTGAAGCATGGTTTTAGAGGTCCTAAATTTCATTATAACGTGTTTCTTTTTCAGGCACCAGATATTTACAAAACTTTCATGGAGGAACTAAGGGATTCAAGGATCACTTACAAGGATTGTCCTGAGCTTATACTCTTGATGCTAGAATTTTCAAGTGCAAATCCACCTTCATTTGATCAATGGAAGGTATGAACTGGTTTTCAAGCAGCTATGATGCCTCTTGTGATGTAAAAGTTATGGCACGTGAAGCCAAAGATGTTAGGATCCTCCTAGGCCTCTATGCTTTATCTTTACATATTGTGTTGTTTTTGTCTTGCAGCAAAATTTTCTTGAGATGTATGTTAAAGCTATTCTAAATGCAAGAGAAAAACCACCAAAGGGCCTCAGTGATGCTTTCATTCCATTATTTTCTCGTTTGACACATGATGATTTTAAGAACACTGTCATTCCCTCATCTGTCAAGATGTTGAAACGAAATCCGGAGCTTGTCTTGGAATCAGTTGGAATCCTTTTGCAATCTTCCAAACTCGACTTGAGTAAATATGCCGTAGAGATTCTTTCAGTTTTATTGACACAGGCAAGACATGCAGATGAAGCTAGAAGGATTGCTGCGTTATCCATCGTAAGGTGCTTAAGCATAAAATCTAGCAGTCCAGATGCTATAGAAGCGATGTTTAATGCAGTCAGATCGGTTATTGGAGGTTTGTGCTTCTGACTTTATATGTTTTCTTTGACTTATTAATATGGCGTTTTACTAATTAGCTAGCAATTTACTGGATCTGGAATATTGACAGGTTCGGAAGGAAGGCTTACATTTCCCTATCAGAGAGTTGGCATGATAAATGCACTGCAAGAATTATCAAATGCCCCAGAAGGAAAACACCTTAACAGCTTGTCAACGACTATTTGTAATTTCCTTCTGTCCTGTTACAAGGATGATGGTACGTTTTGGAATCTTTATCTCGTTGATGTGTGTGCCTAGCTTCTCTTGTACACTTCCTTTTTCCGCAATGTCTTCTTTAGCTTACAGGTCTGTGTTATATTCTTTATGCTTATCCAGGTAATGAAGAGGCCAAGCTTGCATGCTTATCTTGTTTGGCTGCTTGGACCACACGATGTGCTGATGCTATTCAGCCGGATGTCATATCTCTCATTGCATCAGGGCTCAAAGAGAAGGAAGCACTTAGAAGAGGTCATCTTCGCTGCCTGCGAGCAATGTGCCAAAATGCTGATGCTCTTCCACATATGTCCTCTCTGCTGGCAGCTCTTATACAACTTGTTAAATCTGGTTACACAAAAGCAGCACAACGGTTGGATGGAATTTATGCATTGCTCTGTGTGGCTAAACTTGCTGCAGTGGATGTTAAAGCAGGTGTATTAGGACTTTTCACTTTTTTGTGGTGCATGGATAATGGTTAATGACCCATTGATAAGAAAAAAATGGATACGGACCTAGATTTTGGGTTCTGTGATACAATTCAGTAATTTCTTTTCATATGAATTTTTGTTTATTACACATTCTAATTTTGCCTTTGCTGCTGTTGTTAGATGAGACTATAATAAAGGAGAAAATTTGGTCATTGGTATCACAGAACGAGCCGTCAGTTGTGCCAATTCCTCTGGTGAATATTCTGAGCTATTTTTGGTCATCTTGATTGATTATTTTCTCAGTTGGCACACGAGAAGCATAGATGATATTCTCTCTGTTGCCCACTTAATATGCGGTTGTCTGCATTGTTAGTGAATATGCAATTTCTCATGGCATTCTTTTAGTCCAAACAACTAATGAAGTAAAACTCTCGGCTTTGAAGTTGATGCTCTTTTCCTAGGCTTCATCTCTTCAAATTTCAACGGCCTTCTTTCTTACTTCTGCTCTTCTTGGGAGGTCTTAAATTTGTGTTTTTTTTCCCCACCATTTATCGCCTGGCAGTCCAGGGATGTTTATTCTCCCCCCTGACGTTTTAAAGTTGTTTAAGCTCGTAAACATCTTAAGAAGTTTGCAACAGTGTATGAGGTGTAATATTGTATACAGAGATACTTCTATGCCTTCTTAGGAGGACCTATATATTGATACAAGATGCATGTGAAATCCTTAAGTTTGTGTTCTGATTTCGTTAAGATTCTCTTAACTTGCTTCTATACTCTCTCCAGGCCTCAAAATTATCAACCGAGGACTGTTTGGCTTGTCATGACCTTTTTGAGGTGATGCTGGTAGATCATTCACGAAGGTTAGTTTTATGGTGCACATAGGAATCCTACTTTTGAGAAGGTTCCTACTCTCAGTTTGCTATCTGTGTATATTTTTTTAGTGTTGCCAGGAAGTATCATGATCAAAGTTGAATGTCCCTTTTCTGCAGGGTATTGGAGACTTTTGAAGTTAAGACATTAATGCAGGTTAATTGGCGAGGCAGTTTATCTAATTGGGTGTCATTATGCTTTTATGAATTTGTTTTTATTTCTAACTGGTACTTAATTTTTCACAGTTTATACTCTTTTTACAATGCCATCCAAGTTGGGATATCCGGAGAGTAGCTTATAAATCTACGAGGAGGATACTTTCTGCTACCCCGCAGTTATCTGAAACTTTAATGGTTGAATTTTCATGTTACCTCTCTGTTGTTGGTGAAAAGGTTCTTCAAATGAAGATGAGGTGAACTTTCTACACATACTTACACCTTGAACATTCTCCACCTTGAACCTAAAGATGAAGGGATTTAAAAGAAAATTGATGTTAAAAGAACCCACTTTGTCTACTATTTCCAAAAAAAAAAAAAAAGGAAAAGAAAAAGAAAAAGGAACCCGCAACGTCTTAGAATGGACCTTGTTTGCATTGTAGCCATGAAAAAATAGAGGTTATCGAGGTTAGATGTTCTATAGGAAATGTGGATCATATGACCCGATTTGGTCCAGGATGCCTAGATCGTAGCTACAAAACATGATTGAAAATTATAGGTAACATATCTAAGTCATGCTTGAGTATTCAACTGTGCTCGATCAACTTCACATGCACATGACCATATTATCTGTGTACTTTTGACTTCCTTTGAGTTTGGTGGTTGAGTAAATGCTTATTGGCTTCAAAATTTTCCGCTAGGTTAAAGGGTTCAATACTAGTATGAAGAACCCATCAAATTTATCCTCATACTTGTCTTTTACTATTTTATATCTTCGTTTCAGATTGATATTGCATTGCTGTTATTAAGGATTTACTGACTAATTTTTGGAAGAGATTGGAAGTTAGATTAATTAACTTCCTTAAAAATAATACTTATATGTTTGAACACGTCATTTAAATTAGAACAAGCTACGTTTTCACATTTAAAAATAATTAAGCAATAATATCTGTGATAACTGAGAAATCCTCGATGATTAGTGGCGGATAGTTTGAAACTCAGTGGGTAATGGGCTCGCTCCTCTACCCTTCTCCACTTAAAAATACTTAAACAAATAATTAGAACATTAGTTGAAGATAATCAAATTTTTATTCTCTAAAATATAAGGACAGGTGAAACCAAGGAAGCGCAAAGTGAGAAAATACTGGCTAGGTTCATGGGCTTGAATTGAAAAGTGAGAAGTGAAGCGCATACTTCTTTAAAGTGAAGCACACAATTTATCAAATTAAAAAAATACTGTACATATAGTTTTTGGTGTAGGTTCTGCTATTTGGTTACGACTTATATATGTGGTTTTCCCTTTCATTAATAAAATTACTTACCTTGTCAAAAAATTAACAAAATAGTACTATAATAATCAACTTGCAACTAGAAGAATTAATTTCAGCATCCAATATACAATAATGCCGATACTTTATAAAAACAGTACAATAATGCCAATATTAACCCTGTTCCTCAAAGTTGAAGTTGAACGAATGAACTGCTTTTCGGTGGGTTTAATTGCGCATTATCATTTGAAGCACATATTTCTTTATGGCGTATGGTTTCTCCTTCAGTGAGAACCTCTTGGTTCACATGGCTTTTAATAATATTCTTAAAAAACTTATGAGGGACTTATTATTGGATGGATTGAATGGTTGCAAAGGATCTGCTTAGTGAGCTGGGAATTGGTTATGACACTATTCTGGACTCTGGAATAGAGTACTGGCATCCAAAGATGAACCACATTTAATTGAGCACTTGTAAAATTAGTTATGGTGACTTCTATAGGAGGAAAAAGTCTCACAGAAGGAAAAAGTCTCATGGAGGAAAGCAATTAAGCTTAAGTATGTTGTAAAATGTAAACAATATAGGGGTTCTTAGACAAGAGATGTCACCGTATGATGCAACTCCATGAAAAGGGATTATGTAATAGAATATATTCTTTAAGAGTTATAGTATTCTTGGTGGGGAATGGGAAACAAGTTTGGTTTTGGCTCGATTTTGGTGTGGCGATATGCTCTAAAGATGAGATTCCCCACCTTTCTCCCATAGCATTTGCAAAACAGTTCACAGTTGCAAAAATTCTTAAAAGGGATGAAGGATACTATGCATGGAACATGCATTAGAAAAAGCATAGTGGTTTGGGAGATTGAAGAAGTGGAGATTTCTAGCGGAAGCATATACTTCTAAAATATTTGGGAAGGTTGGTAAAATGACATGGAGGGTTTGTCATCAAAATATTATACTATGAAGTCATGATTTTAGGTGATCTGAGACTAATGTCGATGTCAATATGGAGACTGAAGGCACCCAAGAAAATCCTTACATGGTGCAATGTGGACATCGACTTTGTTGTTAGTTGTTATTTCTTGTGCAAAATTCGGGAGAGGATGTAAAAGTTAGAAGACCTACAAATTGGATAGGCAAAATACATAAGTTACCACCTTACCTATGGACCAAATCACCGTTACACACTTTTTGCGGACGAACACACTCAACCTTTTCAGAGTGTGTCTAATATACACTACTCTTGCTATGTGGCAACACGCGTGTTTAACAAAAATTGTAAGCGCGTTAAACTGAAGAATTTTGTCCCAGTTCTTAAAGGACACGTGTCAAAATTTTAATTTTTGCTTTTTTTTTTTTAAATATTTTGTTTCCCTTCACTTTTAACCCACCCCCTCCCTGTTCTTCTTCCCCAGAACCCCTCCCCTATGTGTTCGTTGCTGACCTTTCCCCCTTTCCCCATCTTTTCTGTCCACAATTTTAAGAATAACAATAATATATAAAGGCTTTAGAAGAAATTGATTAAGAAAGTTAAAAGGAATCTATATAAGAGAATTCTATAGATTTGGGTTTGAATCTTAATTTAGTAGCAACAACTTAGGAACACAAATTTAATGTGGTAGGATATTAATTTGGTGGTTGAGGGATATCGGATGAGCCAAAAGAAGCCGAGATTTGAATGAATCTATCAGAGTGAATCGAGCAGCCATGGATCTCGCCATAACCAATTTTAATGGAGTTTTGCATCCTATTTCTTGTGTTCGATTTGAATGTGGACTCACAAAGTCGTGACGCAAGTTGTACTTGCGTTCCTGATTTTGCTTTGTAATCGGAAGGCGATAATTGTGGATGTTTTTATGGTGGTCGGCGTCAATGGAAATTTGGTGGAGAAGAGAAAGAGATGGAATGAGAATAGTTAAGGGGTATATATGTAATTTTACATTAATTTATTTTATTTTAAAATTAATGACACGTGGCACTATATTATTGGTGTGTGACATGCCTCACTTTTTCTGAGATGCTTAAATATAAAAGTGGTGTGTATTAGACATACTCTGAAAAGGTTAAGTGTGTAAAGTTATTTTGTCCGCAAAAACTGTGTAACAGGGATTTGGTCCATAGGTAAGGTGGTAACTTATGTATATTGCCAATTGGATACTACATAAAAAACCCTGCAAATTGGATACTAGAAGAAAAAGGTTATGGAAGATTGCTCTTTTATGCATTCTTGTGCTAGTATGGAGAGAGACTAGATCATAAGAATTAAGAACTCAAGTATTAAATGTCAAGACTCTCCTTTTCCTGTTAACTTTTGGTGTAGATGAATTTCCTTGTGCGCTCGGTATGTTGTTTGATGTTTTTAGCTGAAATAAGTGATATATCATTAATAGGCATCAAGAAGATGCAAAGATTACAAAAGAGAGAAATTCTCAGCTAAAAAAAAGACAAAAAATACTATCACAAAACTAGTGAGCTGATGTATTCCACTAAAGCATCAATACTAAATACAAGAGTGGTTAAACCAACTAAAAAGATTAACCAAACGTCTAGCCTTGAGAGTAGGGGTGGGAGTTGAGATGCCGTCAAAACATCTTTGGTTCCTTTCTGTCCATATGCACCACAAAATGCAAGCAGGAACCAATGCCCAGTTCCTTTTGATGGACTTCCTAACTTTCCATGAGCTCCAGCTCACAAAGGCCTCTCGGATATTGCCTGGTATAGACCATTACAGCCATAAGAGTGACACAAACATATTCCAAATATTAGCTGCAGCTAGGCACTGAAGAAATAAGTGGTTGATAGATTCTGAATTGCTAAGGCACATGTTACATCTGTTGGCTAGCTGAAAGCTCCCCCTGATAAGGTTATCCTGCGTTAATCATGCACCATTTAGGGTGATCTAACTAAAGCACCATTTAGGTTATCCTGTGTTGAACATTTTGGAGGTTTTACACATACTTGTAGTCATTTGTCTTGTATTTTCAACACAAAAGCATATTTGAAATTGAAGAAAAAGCTTACCTATCAAACTAAATATCCAAATTCCTTTAGGGCTGTCCAAATATGTGCCCGCTTAGTTCATCTTGAAGGGAAGGAGACTAAGTGTGGAGTGCATGCTATAAAGAATGGGAAGGTTGAGGAGAATACAAAGTTTTATGAAGATGCTTCCCGAAAAATGGAGAGCTAGAGTAGTTTTGGATGGTAATGTGAAAGTATGGCTGAATGAAGTTTAAATTTGGAGATGTAAAGTATGATGATCTGTTGGTTTTAGTTTTCTAGTCTTTTATGACACTTTCATTTGGGGGTGGAGTTTGGAGGAATATTATGAAAGGATGGGAAGACTTCATCCGCAATATAACTTTCAGAGTGGGAGATGGAAGTAGAAGAGACCTTAAGAGACATTCCTGACATTATCTCCAGCTTGAAGGAGTCAACAATATGACACATTTGGATTTTTGGGGGGGGGGGGGGGGATGAGTTCATTGGGATATAAGTATTTGGAGGAATCTTCAAGATTGAGAAGTAGTTGAATTCCTAGGCTTGGTTGAATTGCTTTACAAGTAAAGTATATCAAATATTAGTCAGAACTTTATGGAGATGGGGAATGGGAAGCGATGAATTTTTTTCATTTAAGTCATACTATCATAAGCTTTGGTGAGAAAAGAATCGATTTTTTTGGACTTATCGGTTTATTCCTAGAGCAAGAAAGAAGGTGTATTTGTTTACTTGATTAGCTGTGAGGGGGAACTAACCTGACAGTTGAGAATTTGTGAAAAAAGAGGATTAAATATGTTATTTGGTGCTTTATGTGCAAATGTTAAGATGAAGGTGTGAAACACCTTCCTCCTACATTACAGGTGGTAACTCGTGTGTCTGAGATGCTGAGATGGTTCCAGCCGCAATGACAAGGCTGGGCACATTAAAGGAAGCATTCATCTAGTTGGACTTTCTGAAGAAGGAGGTGAAGTCAGAGAGCATCAGATGCTGCACCATTAGCACCCATGTGGGTCCTGAAGGAGAGAAATATCCATCTTATGTTAATAAGAGAGTTCAAATGTGTTGCAATAAGGAAACAAAAAATCTTTATACACAAAAGAGAATGATTTAAACCTATTGCGGGTAGTGTCAAATGCGGCTTGAAGCAAAGTACAGTATAGGCCAGGTGCAATGTGTCACTTTTAATGTGCTTCAGTGAAGATGCCAAAGCGCTAAGGTGTGCACATCCGCAAAACTACCCAACCAATAACTTCTTTGCAAAATTTTAGGTTACTTTATGACGCTCACAGCCTCTGACTTGAAAAAAGGCAGCAGTAACCAATACATATAGCCAACAAAATAAAATATTAGTGTAAATAAAACAGTATGGATGGATTAAAATATCTAGCGTAGGGATAATAAATTATTTCCTCTGTTCCAAAAAGATTGACATTATTTCCTTATTTGTCTGTTTAAAAAAGATTGACACCTTTCAATATTTCCTTAATAAGAATCATTTATAGCCACACAAATGCTATGGCAGGTTTCAGACCACAAGTTTCAAAAGTTTTACAGCCACACATATGCTATGGCTTATTTAAGATCACATATCTCAAAAGTCTTCCCTTCTTATTAAAGTTTGTTCTAGGTCAAACTAAAACAATCTTTTTGAAATTGAGGGAGTATGAAATTTTTTAATTTATAAGAAAGCTAGCTTCTAAATCTCCTATCAAGGAAAAAAGAGCTAGTCACTGAATCTGAATTTATAGAAAATAATAACTGCAATAAAATTTAAGATAGTCTATGCAGTTGGTAATTTTTTATAACCGAGAAATCTCCGAGAGCTAGTTGCACACAGTTCTAGACTAGGTGTATGATGGGCCCTTCTCTCTACCCTTTTTCACTTAATACCAAGCTTTTGTCAATGGCAAGGTTTGAACGTGATGTGCCCTAACCCACACATCATGAGCTGAATTCTTACCCCTCGACCAATGCCTTGGGGCAAAATAGCGTTCTCTTTACTAGTACACCGGCATCTCCTATTATTCTCTGCTCTTTTTTTTAATGGTTTTACAATATATATTTCATTTGATTTCTTACCTGTCTTTTGTGGTTTATGAGTAATCTTTTCTTGATTTTTTGTTTCAATGCATATATTTTTTTCCTTTATTCTGCATACAAGTGCGCTTTAATTAAGCTTTGCACTTAAAGTCCAAATACCTTTTGTGCTCTACTCAGTATGCTTGTTGAAATACTGATCGTGAATTATCCTTTGGGTCTTTAATATGTGATTTATTAGCATAAACTGAAGCATACTTTAATTAGCAATGATATATCTAACTTTTTCGTGTTCATGTACTTAAAGATCTCTTCTGATTCAAAAAACATCGGACCAATGGTTTGCTTGCAGCGAAAATGAAAATTTATTGGATGCTCAAGTTCCATTTGTTCCATCTGTTGAGGTTATGGTCAAGGCTTTGATTGTAATGTCGTCTGCTACTTTGGCTGCTGCACCAAGTGCGTGTTTGCAAGTTGTTTTTTGCTCGCATCATCCATGCCTAATTGGCACAGCTAAAAGAAATTCTGTGTGGAGGGTAATGTACTACTCTTGCTCGATCCTTCTCAATATCTGTTGATTAGATTAGATTTCTCTTTGACACCTCCAAAGAAGAAAAAGAAAAAAAAAGAAATATTAAGCTGCTCTTTACCTGATGTATCCTAAAATGATTTAATATTTCCTTTTAATTCTTCCTTTTTTTTTCTGTAATTTTTTTCTGGTTTGGGAAGCAAGGAGGAAGAATAGCTGTGGGAAAAGAAGCAATGTCATAAAAGTACTCACTGTAACATAAATCTACAAAGTACTAAACAATATCTAAAACCTGGTCATATCCCTGTTTCTATGAACTTATATGATCCAACTTCCTCTCATCCTCAATCACTGCAAACATTTCCTCACCCTGGCTGGATGAGCCCAAAGGATAAAATATTAATATATGGATAGGATTTAATTCATTTACCAATGATGACACAGCTTTCTTAACAATTGTACAAATTCGAGAGCACATACTTTGGTGTGTACCGTGATGAAATTTAGCACTTTGCTCTTAACAGTGATAACAAGTAGGACGATTAAATCCACTAGAATCTCTGATAATCAATTAGTTAATAGTTGTAATGTCAACAGACAACACTCTTGACTCTATGTTTCTGTACTACTTTTGATAATCATACTTTAGGAGGTTTTAATGCTTTTAGCTAAATATTGCTGAAAAGTATTATAAGGTTTGTGCCATATGTACCACTACAGTTGTAACTTTTCGAAGTTTATGAAGATTATCCTTATCATCTAAACTGTTTAAAATACAGCTTATCAGGAAAGTTGACGAGAATGGTAACGATTGTGTACTTGAAAGTGTCTTGTCCTTTGAAACATATAGTTAAAAGTTTACTTTTAGCTTTTCTCATTGCCACACATGTTTGTTTGCCACATATAGTTGGAACTTCTTATGAATATAATAAGTGAGGTACTTTACCAGACAATTGTATTAGGGGTTTTTCTTGCATAGTGTTTGGCCTTATCAGGTTTTGTTTAGATGAACTTATTCTTTTTCCGACTCTTTTGTATCCTTTAATTTCTAACTTTCGTTCTAGTTGAGAAATTATCTTATGCATATTTCACTTAATCACTTGGCTAAACCTCTTTTGTTTTTTTTTTGTCAGAGGGTGCAAAAATGTTTGCTAAAACATGGTATTGATGTCATTGGTCTTGTCACAACTAATGTGGTTGGCTTGTGCAAGGTGAACTGCAACTTCTTTGCTGTTATTTTCCTTATTTTTGTGGAAGAACATTGCTGTCTTTAGAAAGATCTACATATCATTGAGGAATGCTGAGATGGAAATTTTTGGAAAACAATATTGTTTATACACATTGTTCTGCATCATGTCAAAATCATGCTTTCCTCTTTCTCTCCCCTCTTTTATTGCTTAATAACTTCAAATGGAGTTGGACGAGGGGAAGTAAAAGTAGAGGCTATGGGCTGCTTCTCTTGCTTGGTAAGGAAGTGAGAGCGAGAGGACGTTAAAATGTAGGAATATCCAAGCCCTCCATGCCAGCTTTTTAATCCTTCCGTAACTGGGTGGGAAGGTTGAACCGTTGAAGCACTTTTACTTCCTATCAAATGCATCAAACAACTAAAAATAAATCATCAATAGTCGCGTACATGAAGTAAATGAATCCTCCCTTTCACATTTCTCTCTCCTTCCTGGAGCCAAACAGAATGTTATTTCAACTGGGAATCATCCCTCATTGACATACGGTCAGTAACTTATCCCATAATTTTAACTTTCAGGGTTTGTTGGGATCGACGGGTCTGCTGAGTGGTAACCATTTTGAGCAAGAGGCAGCAATAAACTCCTTATCAACTTTGATGTCCATGTTACCTAAAGAAACCTACACGGAGTTTGAGAAGGTTATTTGCATGGTTTTGTTGAAGTTATTGTTTGTCACTTGTTATTGCTTAATCTGGTTATAAATTCTTTAATTCTCCTTGCCAGCACTTCAACAATCTTCCAGACCGTAGCACGCATGATATGTTATCTGAAAATGACATTCAGGTAATATCATTACCTTTCCTGTTGCTAGATTCGATGATGATTGCAACTCATGATCTTTAGAATTTTATGGATCATATCATGGTGATGTATCTGATAGTTAACACTCTTATGCTTGGATACACCGTATGATGAGTATGTGTGCAATTTAATGCGAGTTACTTGATCTATATTTGGGTATGTTATCTTCGTATCTTATGTCTGGCATTTAAGCATGTTCAAGTTTTAGTACATGTCAATTGTATGAGAGCTTTGGCGAGAGAGAGAGAGAGAGAGAGGTAGAGACATTATATGGGTCCTCTGAACTTGTGATCTTGTAAATATTCCCCCCCAATTAATGCTGATACTTTTCCACAGCCTGGATTGACAAGCTCTTTTAGAGGGTGTTTGGATTGGCTTATAAAAAGTAGCTTTTAAGCTAAAAGCCAAAAGCCATAAGTTGGTAATACCCAACTTTTGGCTTTTGGCTTATTTTTGTACCTTTTATGCCTAAAAGTAAGTGCTTTTAAGCACTTTTTATCATTGCCAAACACCACACAAACTAAAAAAAGTGCTTAAAAGCCAATACGCACTTAAAGTAAGTCAATCCAAACACCCTCTTAGTCCCCTCAAGGGGGTTGCTTGTAACTTATTTGCTATATTTTAGTTAATTTTGTGTTTCAGGTCACTTTTTTTCTTTGTTTATATTTTGTTACATGCCTAATCTTCTTATCCTGCCCAACCAACTCAATTAGCTGCAAAGAAACATCTTCTCATTAATCAGATATTGTAGGACTAATAAGCCTGTTGATGCTCTTTTATCTGCAAGTCACAGACTTTTATATAGATACTAATGAAAACAAATTTGCTAATTATTTATCATAAACGGCTCAGGATATTATTTTTGGAAACAGTAAAGTCCGATTGTTAAACCATGTTCCTAATCATTTGAATCAGGCCTGTGCAAGAGACATTAAAGTTCCTTTTTCATTTGTCTTGAGTATTTCGGTGGAGCAGGAGGGGAAGGGGTTGTAAGTTACCGAATTTTCAAATATTTTTTGAGACACATTATTCTCTCCGATATCGTATAGAGCTATTGTTTTCTTGCTTCCTAGTAAGTGTGTTTAAAGTCATTAGCTGTTTATTTGATTTATATCCTATTTGGCTTTGTTTCACCGGTAATAGCTATTTACTGACTAATCTTCTGATTTTGCTTCTTGCATTTAGATTTTTCAAACTCCTGAAGGGTTGCTTTCTACTGAACAAGGTGTTTACATTGCTGAATCTGTTGCAACTAAGAACACAAAACAACCAAAAGGGCGTTTTAGGCTTTACGATAATAGTGATGGCCCTGTGAGCATACAATCTATCTTTCCCAAGTCCAGAATTAGCTATCTTCTGTATTTACTTCTCTTAAGGAAGAGATTTCTTTTGCATACAGGACCAAATGAATTCTAATCATACTGTAAGGCGTGAGCCCTCTAGCAAAGAGGTTACTGGAGTGGCGAAAAAAGAATGGTGGAAAATCAATCAAAGAAAGACTGGTACCTTTTGTATATTTCTGTTTCTGTTGAACTTATTTAATTATAGTAGATATTTGTTAATCAACTATTCCTATTGTGTATATTTATTTCTTTTAGTATATAAAGATAAGGGAAAAGTAGACAAAGGAAGAGGCGACGGAGGTAGGCAGCTAAGGGAGGAAGGCANAAATTGGAGTTATAAAAATTATTTTAAAACAAAAAAAACGAAAATAAAGAAATTAAAAAACTTTCAGAGAAAAATATTAAATAAAGTAATATGCTAATAAATATTTCTATTAAAAATGCAATAATATTAAATATTAGATGATATAATAAAGAAAAATACATAACAAAAAANAAGCTGCATAAAGCAATCATGCTTGCAAGACAACTTGCAAAAGAGAGGCTACAACCCAGTTAGTTCTATCCATGCTAAAGAGAGATGGAAGTAACTGCGGCATATTCGTGCAGTGCAAGGTGAGAGCTAAACTCTGCGATATGCTTATTAATATGCTAAACTTGAAATGGGCAATGATATAATCTCAAGAGCTACTATTTTGATGGAATACAGAAGTTACCACCACGAAGAAAAGAAGGATGTGGAACAAAATCCCTGCATGCATATGCTGGATAATTTGGAAGGAGAGAAACTGGAGTCAGGTGTTCCGAAATAGAGCAACAGCCCATCAGTAAAATCATGATTGACTGCATAATTTTTATAAAACGGAACTAATAGAGAACAGAAAAGCTATGAGAGTTCATCTGTGTTGTATAAGACTAGGAAGTTTTCCTTTTGTCCTCATGTAAATATCCACGCGCCCAGAACCTTGCAGACTATGTAGGTTAGTATATAAGGAAGTTCAGTGCAATCTTTTGCTGCAGAGCACTTTCTTGGTGCTGCTTATTAAGCTTTACTTTGTCCGATAAACATCTATATAGTTAAGCTGGAAAATAGATGTTGATTGTTGTACAAGGGGAAGCGAAATTAGGAACACTAATTTAGCTATGGGGTGTTGAGCCGGATAGTAAACATTTCTTTCATCTTTGTTGAGTTTATCCGACTTCAACTATCGGAGCAGCTCATTTGACCCTGTTCTACCCTGATTCTCTTTTGGTAGATTGGTATCTTTGTGTTTTCGTGAACTCAAGTTAGAGACTTTACCCTAACTAATAGTTATCTTCTGGATTTTATCTGTCTTATCAAAATGATATAATTCCACGTGCCTATAATGCCAATAGAAAAGAAATCTGGGCCGGTGTGTAACTTTTCTTGTGTATAGGAGTTGTACTTTTGAGGGTCATACCCTTGTATGTTGCTGTCTTTAACTCTTTTGTTTGATCTGATCTTTAGGTGAAGTTTACCAATCCTCTACTACGGTCACCAATAGTTGGTGATGTAGCGTATGGAACGCTGGTGAAGCTTTCGAAGTGTACTGCTGCTCCTCTTTGTAACTGGGCTCTTGAAATTGCAACAGCATTAAGGTTAATTATGTCAGAGGATGTTAATGTCTTATGGGGTCAAATTCCTTCTGCTGGTGAGGAGGTATCAAATGAAAGGCCTGGTCTCTTTGAGCGTGTGACAAATGGCTTATCCGTCTCTTGCAAAACTGGTTCTATCCCTGTGGATTCGTTTACTTTTGTTTTCCCTGTAAGTTTTTGATCTGATCATGTATAGCATACTCCGATAACTATACTTTTCTGGTGGTAGTTATTCTTTCCTTGACATTGACATTCTCTGATATATATTTTTTTAATTTTTCCTTTTTGTTGCATGCCTAGATAATGGAGAGAATATTGTTATCTCCCAAGAAGACCAGACTTCATGATGATGTTCTCAAGATAATATTCTTGCATTTGGATCCGATTTTACCCCTACCTAGAGTTCAAATGCTCTCAGTTAAGATAATTATAGCTTCTTGTTGTTTATCTTCTTGATAATCATTCCTGTATCTATTTTCATGTGTTATCTTGGTGTTTTTATAGGTTCTTTACCATGTCCTGGGTGTTGTTCCTGCTTATCAAGCATCTATTGGACCGGCACTAAATGAGTTATGCCTTGGGCTGCGATCAGCTGAAGTGGCATCTGTATGTGGTGTGGTTATGATTTCTTCTGTGAGTTTCCACATAAGACTCATGATCTCTTGTGTTTCATGCTCTTTGCAGGCTCTATCTGGTGTTTATGCTAAAGATATCCATGTAAGGATGGCTTGCTTAAATGCTGTGAAATGCATTCCTGCTGTGTCTCGTCGTTCTGTCCCTCAAAGTAGTGAAATTGCCACCCGCATCTGGCTTGCTTTACATGATCCTGAAAAGGTATTACACATTCTTGCAAAAGTTTCTTTTCTAGTGATAATTGCTCTAACTCTAGATTTTTAGTTCCTTAAATATTAATAAGATATGTTGTTCAGATCTGCACAATGACCCACCCGTAAAGCATTTTACTTTGGTCAAGTATAGTTCCAGCACATATGTTAAGTGTCTATTTTTATTATGGTTACACTAGTGTCTAATATATAGGGGAAGCAATGAACACTGCCATCAAGTACAATATGTTTTCAAATATCAGTAGTAATAAAAATTCAAGATTTCACGTTAGAAAAGAGTTTAGACTTTTAGTCTAGCTTAACATTCCACATCATTAATGAGCTTCAATATGTGCTTGCCAAGGGCAGGAGGCAACTGGATTTACTTCCTTTCTCTTCTGTTTTCCAGAAAGCTGTTTCGGTTCTCCTTGTGAGTTTCGGATTATTAATTTTATCATTTATTCTTGTGACATAAAACATCCCTCGTCCACCTTTCAAATTGTTAAACAGCTCCCGCATCATTTAATTGGGGGAATATGTGGCAGGTATGTTGTCCTTTCTAGTGTCCGGTTGAAGGACTTGAAAGTCCAATTTACAAAACATAAACTAGTAAAACAAAGAAATTAGAAGAGATATGAGTACTCTACGAAACGTTCTCCAACTTGTGTTGCAGTGCAAAACCAACATGGAGCTAAATATATTGGGTTCGGTTTTTCATGGTATTGGTCCTATGGTTTGGTTCCTCCTGTTACCTGTCAGTTTGAAGAAATTGAGCATTTACCTGACTAACAATATCTTCCTGCCCACATTATACAGTCCCACACTTCCTGTTAGTTGAAAGTGACAAAAAGCAATGATTTGAACTTAGGTAAATCTTAGGACCTTAATAACTTCGTATCTGAACAGTCTGGTCTTATGATATTTGCTGAATTAGTTAATCGACTATAAGTTTGAGTATCTTAAGTTAGGTTGTCTATGTAGCAGCAATCCAGACATTCGTTTCAAAATTTTGGTACTAATTGTTGTTCTGATTCAATGTTTTTATTCTCTGTCCAAAATGTTATCGTGACAGTATGAACTTTATGTGTTCTCTATTCAGTGTGTTGCCGAAGCTGCTGAAGACATCTGGGATCATTACGGATATGACTTAGGGACGGACTACTCAGGCATCTTCAAAGCTCTTTCCCATGTTAATTATAATGTGCGAGTGGCTGCTGCTGAGGCCTTGGCTGCTGCTTTAGATGAAAGTCCAGATACGATACAGGTTTATTTAGCTTCTATATTCTGTTTACTGCAAATGTATTGAAAGTTCTCACTGACAATTTTGGAATGATAAACAATGCTTTCAGGAATGTCTTTCAACGTTATTTTCTTTGTACATCCGTGATGTTGGTTCTGGTGAAGACACCATCGATTTTGGCTGGATAGGCAGACAAGGAATAGCATTGGCTTTACTTTCTGTGGCAGATGTTCTTAGAGCAAAGGACCTTCCTGTTGTTATGACATTCCTAATTTCAAGGGCACTGGTACTAATTTCTTTTTTCTGAATAAAAGGTGTTGTTAGTTATGTCTAAGTTTTAATATATCATACTAGATGATAAAACCTAAGATCTGCAAATTTGCTTTTCGTTAAAACCTAAGATCTGCATTTTTTCTTTTCTCTCTCTCTCTCTCTCTCTCTCTCTCTCTCTCTCTCTCTCTCTCTCTCTCTCTCTCTCTCTCTCTTCTCAAGATTGCTAGATGATATCACTAACAGGTGCATGGAAGTTTTTATTTACTTTGACGCATGCTGATTTTGGCAATGAAGTTCTGCAAGAGTTTGTCTTGCTATCATTATACTAAACGTGGCAACTCTCTTTGAATTGAAATATCCTTGCCGAGATATTCTTTTTCTTGGCTTTTAAGGAGCTCCCTCCTTTTATTGAAGGCTTTAAAGCACAGATCACTCACAATTTGCTGTTATATGAAATTTCGTGCTTCACTTAGTTTTGTAAACCGTCGAAATAAACTTTTTGGAAATATATGAAATTTCATAAAAAAGTTATATCATTTGGGTTTGACTAATGTGGCTTTGGAATCGCAGGCGGATCCTAATGCAGATGTTAGAGGAAGAATGATAAATGCCGGTATAGTTATTATTGACAAACATGGAAGAGACAATGTCTCACTGCTATTCCCTATTTTCGAAAACTACTTGAACAAAAAGGTATGACATTTTATTTTCCAACATCATCTATTTGGTTTACTGTCTAGAGGTTTTATACCTTTGGGATGGGGATGAACTATCGGTAGTTGAGTTTTTTGTGTTGACTCCTATTGCCCGTTTGTGGATGTTAAAAGCTAGTTATAGTCTCTTAATATATATCATATGTTAAAATATCGTACAATGACCAACCAATTGTTGATTGGGCAGGCTTCAGATGAGGAGAAATATGATCTGGTCCGTGAAGGTGTAGTAATATTTACTGGAGCTTTGGCAAAGCATTTGGCCAAGGTAACTGATCTTCCCACTTATAAACTTGGTCCACAGTAAAGAATGGTGACGTCTACGATTCTAGTTCCTAATACCATGTCTATTTTGGAACAGGATGACCCTAAGGTTCACGCAGTTGTGGAGAAGTTGCTGGATGTACTCAACACTCCTTCTGAAGCTGTTCAGCGAGCTGTCGCTACCTGCCTTTCTCCACTTATGCAAGCAAAGCAGGTTAGTTAAGCATCTTCTAGAAAAGCTTCTGTATACCATTTAACTGTAACGAGCACGAGTGATTGCCACATTTCAAGAATGTAATTCTTGAACAATCTGCAGTTATTAAACTCCTGTTATTGCAGTAACAGGTGTTTCTTTTGTTTGCTGCCAGGCTACATAGACTCTATATAACATACATGTGTCAAAAGGATATGATTTGGCTTGGTTACTTTGTCTAAATCCTACATGATACGCCAACTTGCTAAAATTTAGATGTGCCCGACCAATTAAAAAAGAAGAAGACGCGTGCCTGTACCCATGTCCACGTCCATGTCCATGTCCATGTCCATATTCAAGTCCACATAAAATAGGTTTACTGTGTGGAATGATATATCATATATTCTTGTGAATTGTGCTAGCTTTACATCTCTCCTCTAGAAGGGTCTTACTTTTTAGCAAAGCAAGTAAAAAGAACCATCATGGCAATATTTAGAACCATCTGTTTCTTCCTACTTTGCATGAATCTTGCAGTCAAGCCTTTCAGTTTTATGGCGAGTAAAATCCAATATATTAAGCTATCTTGAATTTTGGTTCCTTTTTCCTTCAGGCTATCAGTGTTCTGAGGTGGTAACTGGTGACTTATTTGGTTAACTACAGACCTATTCTCATGTATTTACCATGCCAATCCTGATAGTTCCTTGAGATTTTCTGAAGGACTTCTTGTCTCACTTATTTTAAATTTGTTTGTAATTCAAAATTTTGAAATTCCTGGAAGGGATTTTGTTCTTTTCAACCTTAACATCTATTAAAAGGGATGAAAAGTAACAGTGGGGAGGAAAGTGGTATATGATCCCCACTTTCTCTTCCAATCTAGTTCGGGAAGCATTCTCTCTACTTCTTGTTCTGTACTGCGTAAAGTCAGGGAAATATGAATTATTAGTTTGTGCCCTAGTTTTGTTTCTATAACTTTGACCTTGTTTTTCTTCCAGATCTTTTGTTTGTGATCTTACTTCCTTAGTCATCTCTCTTTCTTTCTGCTGTCCAAACAAAACCTTTTGATAGTTTTTACCTTATTTGCAAGCTGAAACTGGATTCTCTTTTTGCCCATCTCTTCTCTTGCACCAGGAGGATGCACCATCTCTGGTTTCTAGGCTTTTGGATCAGCTAATGAAGAGTGACAAATACGGAGAACGCCGGGGTGCAGCATTTGGACTTGCAGGGGTGGTTAAGGGATTTGGAATAGCTTGCCTGAAGAAATATGGCATTGTAAAAGCTTTACATGAAGGTCTTGCTGACAGGTTAGTCTTCTGGCATGTTTTAATCGCTCTAAAAGCTGATTTTGAATCATGGTTTTCAAGTCAAGGGACTTTCTGTCCTTTTCCAAGCATGCGATGAAGTGTCATGAATGACAACTCAGATGAGACATCATATAATGGAATTAGCGAGAAGAACTAATTCATCTAATTACTTTTATCTTTGTGTGCTAGACATTGTTGATGCGAAATCTCAAGGTTACGATCGCTTAACATATACCATTTTGTATCAACAATGATTATGTCTTTGTGGTCCAAGGATGTGTGTTAAAATAGATAAACGTCTTCTTGGCTTAATTTGTGAATTAATTTTCCAAGTCGGTACCTGCCCGCAACCAAAAAAAGGGGAAAAGTGACTTTGTTATCTTTCAGCTCGCCTCCTCTTTTCGTTATAGGTTTAAATTTTGAGCTCGCCACTTAGAGGACATTTTTATGAACTGTCTACATCTATTAGCTGTGTTCTTACCATAGATATATGTTTCTGTATGATCTGGGAGTTGTTCATGCAGTTACCCGATAATACATAAGTATTGAATGGAATTGGACAAGTGGATAAACAGGACTCATACAGACGATCCCAACTAATTTCGGATTGACGTGTAGTTGATTGTTTTCTATTATAATACATAAATTTTAGGATTATTTCTTGACTGGCAGTTTAGCTAGCAATAGTTGACATTGACATTGTTTCACCGATATCGCTTTGTTACGAGGTTGCTGATTTCATTAAATTTCAGTTACTGCACCTCTGCATATGAATTTCTCCTTCCAGGATCTGAATCGATTTTTATTTGCAGGAATTCAGCTAAGAGTCGTGAAGGTGCACTGCTTGCATTTGAATGCTTCTGTGAGAAGCTTGGGAAGTTGTTTGAACCGTATGTCTGCATGCCCATCAATTTATATTTCTTTTCTCCGTAACATGATGCAAGTGAAATGCGTATCCTCGTATGTATTTTGAACTTGGATGTGGAATAATCAATTTTGATTCACTTGTCTCCCTGTTTTTCCTTCAGGTATGTAATTCAAATGTTACCTTTCCTCTTGGTTTCATTCTCTGATCAAGTTGTCGCGGTGCGTGATGCTGCTGAATGTGCTGCTCGGGCAATGATGTCTCAGCTTAGTGCTCAAGGAGTGAAACTAATTCTTCCATCACTTTTAAAGGTTCTTAATTTAACTTTTCCCCTTTACCTCGGCTCACTGCAACCGACGCTATCTGTGATATATTGGTTGAGCGATGTGGTTAACTGGATGATGGAGTAATCTTGCAGAATGTAATTTTATGCACACACTTGGAGTATACTCTTATGAAGACATGCTCAAAATTCTTTTTCAATGTACATCTATTCCTACATGTTTTTGTAGTTTGTTGAGACTCTTAGAAATAGGAAAAGTTATAGGTTTTGAGACTGCTCTTTGATGACGAGAAATTGTTGCACACCGGGCTACGTTGGTTAACCTTGAGGACTGTTTAGCTGTGTAGGAATAGAGAAACTGTAGCTGTAATGCATGCTTGCTCTTTGATTTTTGAAGAACAAGTCTACCATTTCATGAATGCTTATATTGTGGGTTTGTACTACCTCTTAGCATCCGTATATTTCATCTGAATTGACAGATTGGATCCTCAGTTCCTTTGTTGATAAACCTACAATGTGTTTTGGATTCACAAAACTCATATATTAGTTAGCCTTCATGACATGAGACCTATGTTTACTATTACTTTTCTGTGTCAGGGCCTTGAAGATAAAGCTTGGAGAACCAAGCAGAGTAGTGTACAACTTCTTGGTGCCATGGCGTACTGTGCTCCACAGCAATTGTCACAATGTCTCCCTAAGATTGTGCCCAAGTTAACTGAGGTTTGTTCTTCTGCATGCAAACTTAGTACTTACTGTCTCTGACTACAGGGCCATACTGGTCTCAGTTTCATACTGCTTTGGTAATACTGTACAGGTGCTTACTGACACTCATCCCAAGGTTCAATCAGCTGGACAGACAGCCCTTCAACAGGTTAAACAATCTCCGGATCAAGTTTCTCTTACTTCTAAGTTCTACTTCTTGCTATTTATTGTTTAGTTATGTCGTTTGTTGAATATAGGTTGGGAGTGTTATAAAGAACCCTGAGATATCTGCACTTGTCCCTACTCTTCTAATGGGTCTTACAGATCCCAATGAGTATACAAAATACTCCCTTGATATTCTCCTCCAGGTAAATGCGTTTTCTGATAACTCTGGTTTCCATGTACTTTTTTTGATAGGTAATCTGGTTTCCATTTACTTCCTGATAAGCTAATTTCTTATTCCAATTCTTGCAGACAACCTTTGTGAATTCAATTGATGCTCCTTCTCTCGCTCTGCTAGTACCAATTGTACACCGTGGGCTTCGAGAAAGGAGTGCTGAAACCAAGAAGAAAGCAGCACAAATTGCTGGAAATATGTGTTCATTAGTGACAGAACCTAAGGACATGATACCATACATTGGACTACTGCTTCCTGAAGTTAAAAAGGTACTTATGGAAATAATTGGAGTAACTTGTTATGATGAGCCCAAAAGTTGACTCGATATTCTTTTCATGTGATTTCAGGTACTTGTGGATCCAATTCCTGAAGTTCGATCTGTTGCTGCAAGAGCCATTGGTTCTCTTATACGGGGGATGGGAGAAGAAAATTTCCCAGACCTTGTGCCTTGGTTGTTAGATACGTTGAAGTCTGATGGAAGCAATGTTGCACGTTCTGGGGCTGCACAAGGACTAAGTGAGGTATAGTTATCTCATTCGGTGTTACTTGGTTACGGTCTCTCTCTCTCTCTCTCTCTCTCTCTCTCTTGTTATAAGGAGTTGAAAACCTCCCTTTGCTGAAGATTTTCATTTCTAGAAGAAGCTGTCAGTGGGGGGCCCCAATCTTATGCTTTTTCACTTAAAATAAGTTTTGGATTTTAAATATTAAGTTAGCATTAACATGGTCTCTTACCTGTGCTTTTCGATCAAAAGGTAAATATAATAGATCTTTTTTGGACTTCAAAAAAATTCTTCTTCCATGTTGGCAAGATTAAGGTTTTATGCTGTGTGCACACTTTGCTTGTCTTCTTGTTTTGGTTTAGTATGGTTTTTTTAACTCTAAAATAAGTTAGTGACATTGTTTGCATAAACAAGTTGAAATGGTTTTTGAGCATCTTTATCTTATTGGCTCTTCTTTCTCTTTCAAACTTGGTTGTCGTGAAGAGCAAGGACCAAGAAAAAATAATTGACAAGTATGGAAAAGCCTGTGCTTTTTGGGTGCAACATCAAGGAGTTTGGGGGTAGTGGTAGGTGGGTGGGTCGGAGCCAGTAATACAGAATGGAGAGACTGTGCTTTTGAGCTGCTTAGGGTTCTCGTTTTCACGTTCAACCTACAAGTGTTTTTCCTCTTTCCCAGGTATTGGCCGCATTAGGAATAGAGTACTTTGAGAATATACTTCCTGAGATCATAAGAAATTGTTCTCATCAAAAGGCATCAGTTCGTGATGGGCACTTGGCGCTCTTTAGGGTAAGCACTTGCATTTTTTGAAGTTTGTGTTTAGAAAGACGGATAACTTTTTCTTCTGTAAATTTTCTCATGTGAATTATTTGGCTGCTTGTAGTATCTGCCAAGATCTTTAGGCATCCAATTCCAGAACTATTTGCAGCAAGTTCTGCCAGCGATCTTAGATGGTAATTCATCTCTCTCTCTCTCTCTCTCTCTCTCTCTCTCTCTCTCTCTCTCTCTCTCTCTCCTCCCTTTTCCATACACACAAACACATGCAGTCACACAGAGATAAACATAAAATTAGCATTCAGTTGAAGTGTTAGTTTAGTGGGCGTCTTTTATGTTTACTTGCGTTGAGACATTCCTTGAATTAACATTACTTTCTACTATAGGTTTGGCCGATGAGAATGAATCTGTGCGTGAGGCAGCACTCAGCGCCGGCCATGTTCTGGTGGAGCATTATGCAACCACGTATGCGTTTGTCATCTTCCACATCTAGTTTTAAGCTGTCTCCTGAGTTTACTTTGGGGTCCCGTGCCATAACCATATATTAAATTAATTTGGATATACACAATGAAAGAGGCTATGATGAAGTGAAAAAATCATGCTGTTATAGTTAAAGTTTGAATGATAATTGATCTGCTGACTATTTGCTACTCTCTGCTCTTCTTTTGTTCTATAAATTTAGATCTTTGCCTCTGCTTCTTCCTGCTGTGGAAGAAGGTATTTTCAATGATAACTGGCGTATCAGGCAGAGTTCTGTAGAGTTGCTGGGTGACCTTTTGTTCAAGGTAAGCATTGCACTTTAGCATCATATTATATAAGAAGCAGGTTTGTTAATGTTATATAATTATATTTTCTTCTAGGTTGCTGGGACATCTGGAAAAGCACATCTTGAGGGCGGTAGTGATGATGAGGGTGCCAGTACTGAGGCTCAAGGACGGGCTATTATTGAGGTACTTGGAAGGGAAAAGCGCAATGAAGTCCTTGCTGCATTGTATATGGTCCGAACCGATGTCAGCATAACCGTGCGGCAGGTAGTATTTGTTTCATATACTATTCGATGCTTCAATTATGGTGGTCGACTTGTTTTGAGATGCTAATTATAGTAATTAATGAACTTTAACCACTTTGTATTTTCTTTTTTCAGGCTGCTTTGCATGTATGGAAGACCATTGTTGCAAATACCCCGAAAACATTGAAGGAGATAATGCCTGTACTGATGAGCACATTGATAAGTTCTCTAGCATCTTCATCCTCTGAAAGGAGACAGGTGTGCTGGTACTCTTGTTTATAGTGAACAAGAATGTAAAACATTTGTTCTGGAAATAAGAATTCCGTGGTCTAAATATTTGCAGGCTTCTGGACGAGCATTGGGCGAGCTTGTTAGGAAGCTTGGTGAAAGAGTCCTTCCTTCGATTATCCCAATATTATCACAGGGTCTAAAAGATCCTAATCCAAGTAGAAGACAAGTGAGTACTTTACCTCCTCCTCATGCTTCCAGGTGTTCTCTTTAAGCTCTGCGAGTGTTTTCAGTCATAGAGTGGTTAATAGATTTTCTCTTTTTATTTTTTATTTTAATAAAAGGCACCGCGGTGGTGGGGCTAGTCAGAGTCCTACCAGTTTACTGGTATCAAATAACAAATACACAGTTTATAAGTATCTTGCATATGTTTATTATCAGTATTTTAGTTATGTTAAATGCAGTATTTTATGACGATCTTAATTCATCTCTCCAATTTTGGAGTTGCAATTTCAATGCAAATTGAGGTGGGTTTATCTTAGTGAGACGACTTAGTTATAGCTAAATCGTATTTGGGGCAGTGATGATTTTGAGAGCTTCTATAACTATCCGGATAACATCAAGAACAACGAACCCAGTGTAACTATACGGATAGTAACAGCAAAATAATATGAGTGAGCTTCTGTGTGAGAAATGTTCTGTAGGTCTTGTTTATAAGAAAGAGAAGTGTTATCATTCTCCAGAAACATACTTCAACTCTGGCTGGAAAGACTTAGTCTTCAAAATTCAATGATTCGCAAAATAAGTTTGACAAGCCCCATTAAGGACTACCAGACAAGAAACCCCATCACTTCCGCAGAAGCAATCAAAAGTAGCAGATGGCCAACCAATAGATAGCAACCCAAAAGTGGTGTTAGAGAAAGATAACAAAATCTTATGTAATGGAAATCTTGCCCAATTAAAATGATTAAGTAAACATCTAGCTTTGAGGGAATGATTGGAGTTAATACCATCAAAAAAATTTCGATTCCTTTTAGTCCACGAAACCCAAAAACCTGCTGCAGGGATCATTAACCAAATTTTCTGGATGGTTTTATCAACTCTCTGTAGACTCCAACTAGTGTAAGCTTCTTTCACATTTTGTGGAATGACCCTGTGAAGTCCAAAAATAGAGTAAAACATGCTCCATAGCTCAGCAGCATTCCTTTCAGTCCACAAAACCCAATATAGTTGATCATTAACCAAATTTGAAGCTACATATATAACTTGATTACATATGTAATTTCTTTTTTTCTTAAAGAGTAATTGGTTTAATAGTGTTATGCTGAAATATAGTCGCTGAATATGTGCTTGGCAGTGTATGTCGCGTTTAAAAATCGATAAAAGCCGAAGCGATGAGTAATCGACTTAATTTGTTTGGTTTGGTTCCCAATATTTTAAAAACGAAGTTAATTGGTTTGGTTTCTTTTTAGAGCTAAACCAACTCAAATCAAGCCGTGAACACCCTTACCAGCATGCATCTGGTGGACTATGTGGAAGGAAAGGAATGCTAAACGTTTGGAAGACAAAGCTAATTCTATCCAATAGATTAAAGTTTAACTGCACACTGTTTCTTTTTGTAAAGAGGAACTTTTAAATGCAGTAAATCAATACTTAGCCTCTTAGGATCCCTGCAAGATTGGAAAAGGATTCTTTCTTTGGTTTTTGCTCACTTGTATATTTCAGCACCTTCTTTAGTGATGCAGCTATAATCTCATTCCAATTTTATTGGTTGTTGCCGAAGGGACTGATATAACATATTTACTATTTCTGAAAAGAGTAGCTTAAGCATGTAAGTGAGACAGTTCACACAATGCAGTGTGGTACTAGAATAGGAAATTGTCCTGCATTTGAGGGTCATCACCACCTATCATAGAATACTTCCACGTGCTTGGCCCAAGAAAAAGAATTAGGCCTGCATGTGAGGGGGCATTGTGCAGAGCTAAAGTAAATAAAGGTGTCTCATCTATAAAAAGAAACTTCATGTTTTCAGAAGAGGCAGTTCAGACTCTTAATTTTCCCAAATATGTTGCTTGACTTATTCCCTATTTCTTTAGTGGCACAATATAGTTGTGACTTCATGGTGACTGGAGTGTATATCTTCTGTCTTTGGTAAGATGAATAATAGTCTTATTTATACTTTTCATACAAAAGCTGTGAATCTCATCCTTCTTCCTTCATTTGACATGGGTTTTCCTTCGCACTTGCAATCAAAATTTACCAACAAGATGTAGTTTGTTTCCACTTATAATTTCTCGATCTTCAATACTTTTTCAATTTCAGGGTGTCTGCATTGGTCTAAGTGAAGTAATGGCCAGTGCTGGCAGGAGTCAATTGTTGAGTTTTATGGATGAGCTTATCCCCACAATTCGGACAGCACTTTGTGATAGGTGTGATATCTTTTGCTTATATTACTATGAAAATGGCAGTTTTTTGCATTTACAGTCTGAGGTAATTCTTTGGTGTTCCTTATTCAACAGCATGCTCGAGGTTCGTGAATCAGCAGGCCTGGCATTTAGTACTCTTTACAAGGTAAATCCTACAGATCTTGCCAATATTTGAGAAATTTCATGTTTATCGAGAAAATTCTCAGCATTAAACTTTGCACTTGGTGGTTTGTAACGTAGAATGCTGGAATGCAAGCAATCGATGAGATTGTTCCAACACTTCTTCATGCTCTGGAGGATGAGGAGACCTCAGATACTGCTTTGGATGGCTTAAAACAAATTCTGAGGTAGTCTATTGTTTGTCTAGATAAGTCATGTTTCTATGCATTATGTTATCCTTATGTCCTAAATTTTGTTGCCACGTATTTCAGTGTCAGGACCACAGCGGTGCTGCCACACATCCTCCCAAAGCTCGTTCATCTTCCACTTTCGTACGTATATATGCTTTCTGCTCCCAATATCTTTTCTGTACCTTGTGGTTCTGCAGTACTCACGAAATATCTGCGTGCACCTACAGTGCCTTCAATGCGCATGCTTTGGGAGCTTTAGCGGAAGTTGCAGGACCTGGTCTTGATTCCCACCTTAGTACTATCCTTCCTGCTTTACTGAATGCAATGGGTTATACTGACACGGTATGCCTCCTCACAGACATGTGCATATGTTTATGTGGTTTTCACATTCATTTTTTAATTTTTCTATGGAATAAAATACAGGAAGTTCAAAGTTTAGCGAAGAAGGCAGCAGAAACTGTTGTGTCAGTTATTGACGAGGAAGGCATGGACTCTTTGTTGTCAGAACTACTGAAAGGAGTTGGGGATAGTCAGGCATGATCTTTCTCTGTTTCTTGTTATTTTGAAAACTCATTTATTGCTATTCTTTTCTCTCATGCTACTGTATGCTTGTAATTCCAGGCTTCGATTAGAAGAAGTTCAGCGTATCTTATTGGATATCTGTTCAAAAATTGCGACATATATATTGGTGATGAAGCTCCAAACATGATATCCACCCTGATAATTTTGCTTAGTGATTCGGATTCTGATACAGTGGTGGTAATGTCAAGATCACTGCATTTCTTTTGTATGTTGATTCGTGTGGGTTATCTGACCACTTATTGACAGGTTGCATGGCAAGCTCTGTCTAGTGTTGTGAGTTCAGTTCCTAAAGAAGTTCTTCCAACATACATCAAGTTGGTTCGTGATGCTGTATCTACATCAAGAGATAAGGAACGTAGGAAGAAAAAGGTTGCCATTTTCTATTTCAGACAGCTGTAATTTTATGTTTTAAAAGCATGGGTGTCACAATGTTTTCTGTTGTTTCATGAGTCTATGTTGAGATTTTAACGTTCTTCTTAATGAACATGTAGGGAGGACCAGTTCTTATACCTGGATTTTGCCTTCCGAAAGCTCTTCAGCCATTGCTTCCTATTTTTCTCCAGGTATTCCAGCTTATTATTATTATTATTATTGTTGTTGTTGTTATTATTTTTTTTTAAAGGTACTCTGGCTTATTTCTTTGTAAATTCACGGTAGATATCGTTTCTCTTTTTGGTGGGTGTTTTTGGGGTGCTGGTGTTAAGTTGTATATTTTTAGAGGAAAATTCTTCTGAGAGTACATCAGAGTATCAGTCTTCAAGTTTAACACACATTTATATTTTTTTGTGTATGCTGTGGCAGGAGGTACATGGGGATTTATCAAACTGCATTTCAGAGTTGATATACAAATATCCATTGTAATCCTAGGAAAGAGAAAATAGTACATAGTGAAAGTAAAGGAAATTTGTAAAAAGGTGTTAACATGAGGATACCATAGAAAGAAGCAGAGAGAAAGACTGAATTGGAGAGTAACCTAAGCTTCTGTTCCTTCAATACTCTTTTTCTTAGTTCCTTCTTCACCAAAACAACGCTCCCTAGCTTTCCTCATTGTTTTTTATTGCTACGTTCCATCTTAATGGTAAAATTGAAAAATTATCCTAGCCGACTGGCCCGAGGCATCAAAACCTTAGCCTAGGCACCAAACTTATTTCTTAATCGATGCGAGGCATCATTTTAATTCTGCTCTATTGCTTAATACTGGTAATTATAGATTGTATTAACCTCCTAATAGTCCTATGTGGTATTTTATTTATTGCACTGCTCCTTGAATTTTCTGTTACCCAGTGTGATTTCCTTTTGACCTGCAGGGTCTCATTAGTGGATCAGCAGAATTGAGGGAGCAAGCAGCTTTGGGTCTTGGGGAGTTAATCGAAGTGACAAGTGAGAAAACACTAAAGGAGTTTGTGATTCCTATCACAGGGTATGTACCATGTGTATTAATACAACGTTTGTACCAGCATGAAGAAGATTCATATAGGCAGATATCAAGAGGATTATGTTTTTTACTTTCTAGATTTTGTATTTTCATTTTCTCTGAAGTCAATCAGCGTATGCTGAAATTGTCGTACTATGCTTTCAATTGCAGGCCCTTGATTCGTATTATAGGTGACAGATTTCCTTGGCAAGTAAAGAGCGCAATTCTATCAACTCTGAGCATCATAATACGAAGGGGAGGAATAGCCCTAAAGCCTTTTCTTCCCCAGCTTCAAACAACATTTGTCAAGTGTCTACAGGATAACACGAGGTTGGTTCTATAGTGGTATACCCTTTTTGGCTGTTAAAGGGGAAATGATGTGTTGTGAAACTGATGCCCTTCTGATCTGTTTTCTCTGTCTGCTTTATGACATCTATTGCTTCTTGAAGCGATAACTTCAGTTCTTTGTGATCTTTATTCCTTAAACTTATACAAGTTCTATTATAGGACAATACGATCTAGTGCAGCTCTTGCGCTTGGGAAGCTTAGTGCTCTCAGTACCAGGGTTGATCCTTTAGTTGGTGATCTGTTATCTGGTGTGCAGGTGATAGTTGTACTTTATTCTACTTCTCTATTGTCGCAATTCGTCTCTTTTTAAGAAGCAGAGTTATTCTATTGAGTTATGGTTCAACAGACATCAGATGTTGGAATTCGTGAGGCTACCCTGACTGCTTTGAAAGGTGTGATTAAGCATGCTGGTGGAAGTGTCAGCATTGCTTCTAGAACACGCGTGTACACCCTCCTGAAGGATTTAATACACAACGATGATGATCAGATAAGAAGTTCTGCTGCAAGCATATTTGGAATTATTTTGCAGGTTAGGGTCGTTCTACCCAGGAAACATTTCTTTTCCTTTATATCAAGATTTTGTGTCCTGCATTTAGCATGTTTTTAATCATCACTGAGGTGCTGGTAAAGGTTATTTGGTGATTTATTTGATGTGGGGTTTTGTTCAGAATAAACAGGGTGTAGATCATAGCAGATTGCCTCCTTTTTTGCTCCAAAGCAGGCTGCTTCATTTTGAATTGGCCTCTTGCATATTCTTATGTTCCTCTAGGGGATAATGCTCAATCTATTGCTTTTCTACCCTTTAATTCAGATGTTTTAGTAGAGGAACTCTTGTCTAATTGGTGGGGTGCATCACCCTCTCAAGTTTCTCTCTATTATTTTCTTTGTCTTAGAATTCTTTTTCATTGGTTATACAAGATTGGAGAAGATTAGAAATGACCACGTCAAGCAAAGATTGCAAGTAGTTCAAATTGAGGATAAAATGAGAAAAAATATTGAGAGATTTTTCCCCAGATAAAGTTGTGTTTGTATATCGGATTTGATCTGAATCAATGGGTTTCTTTCATAACATCACCTTAGCTGAGCTAAGTTTTAGTGGATCTGTTTGTCTTCTTTTTTGCAGACCTTTATTAGTACTCCCTCCTTTTCACTTTATGTGACACATTTTCCTTATTCGTCCGATTCAAAAAGATGGACACATTTCTATATTTGGAAATAATTTAACTTTAAACTTTCCCTTTTACCCATTTTGCCCTTAATGAGAAGCTTTTATAGCCACCTCAGTTGCGTGGACTCTTCGGGAGCGGGATACGCCCCGGATACGGTCAACTGACTTCGGACACTTTGACCGGAGTCCATCGACAAATTTGGGAGAAAAATTGAGATTTTGATTTCTCAAAATACAAACAAAATAGATTTAGGAGAATGGAAGACTAATGTCCATCTTGGAGAATGAAAGATTGAATTCTACAATATTCATGTAAGTTTTTCACAGAATATCTCTCAATATTTACAATATTTTTATAGCTCTATTTTTTATTAGCTGAATCCCCGCACCCGTATCCATATCCGGATCCGTACCCCTAATCTTAAATTTAGATTTTGCCGAATCCGATACTCGGATCCGTCCCCGTATCGAATACCCGCACCCGAGTCCGAGCAACTTAGATAGCCACACAAATTGAAGGCTCCACAAAAGCTTTTATCCTTTAAGCTTTTAAGGTGACAAGTTTGAAAACTCTTCCTTTTTCTCTTAAACTCCGCGCCGGATCAAACTATGTCACATAAATTGAAACGTGGGGAGTAAAATTTGTTTCTCTTATCAGAAATACAAAATAATGACAAAGAGGCAAAAAGTGATTCTGGATTGCTGCGGGAAAACATAAAGCACCAATACTGTGGATGATAATGTTTCATGGCTTTCTTGAAAGAGAATCTGGAATTACAGCTTTATATACGACAAACTGATTGCGAAAATCATTAACCAAATTTTTTTTATGTAAGGCTTGATTTTCTTATTAGATTGATTTTGAGGCAGTCTCATGGACCTAAAACTGTGAGATTTATTGTGATTTATCCTGCATTTTATTATTCTGCAGTACCTAGAAGACGGACAAGTTGTTGAAGTACTTGATGAGCTATCAAAATCAGCTTCATCATCTAACTGGTGCTCAAGGCATGGATCAGTACTTACCATTTGTTCAATGCTTAAGCACAATCCTGACATAATTTGTGCTTCTTCATCATTCACATTGATTGTGAACTGCCTCAAAAGCACCTTAAATGATGAAAAGGTACGTCTGACATAAGTTATTTCACTTTATAATGTAATTTGTTTTGGACAAAACTGCATTCTGATTGTTGTAGAAACTTAAAAATGTTGTTTCATATAATACTATTCTTTATCCAATTGTGGAAACAAAACGAATTCCACTTTTCATTGCATTTTCTCCATAGTTTATTTTGCCTTTTCTGAAGGGAAGGTGTTTGAACTGGAAATCTACGAACCTGTGATTTTTTCTGTTAAGTAAATCAATAAATCAGTGTTTTACACCAACAGAAACATTTAGAGATCTTTTTGTTTTTATTTTTTCATCTGAAGTATCTCTTTCCCATTGAGATACTGGTCTACTTCCATTTTCTGTACGGAAAACATCCACGAGAGGATTCAGATTTTCATGTTCTTATTTTCTTTTGGTAATTAAAATTTTATTTACCAGGGGAAAATGTAGGTACAGACAAAACAGAAAAACCATAAGTTGGACAGGACCCCGACTTATAACAGCAAGAAACAAAAAGAAAAAACTAATCACCTAAACTCCCAGTTCTCCCCTCTCAACTGTGCTACTCAGATTTCTAAGGATAGAAATGTAAAGTTTTAAGCTGACCAGCAATTCTAGTGTAAATTGCAGATGAAAGCAATAAAACTGGAAAAGCTTGGTCGGTATAGTTTTTCAGAAAGAGCGAAAGTTAATTTATTTGGAATCTGATGGTTTTCTTTGATATTGCTTCTTTATTTGTTAGTTTCCTGTTCGTGAAACATCAACGAGAGCGTTAGGATTGCTTCTACGTCAACAAATCCAGAGTGATCTGTCAAATTCTACTTCACATGTGGAAACTCTGGGATCCATAGTGTTGGCCATGCAGGACGATTCAAGTGAAGTCAGAAGACGGGCTTTATCTGCATTGAAGGCAGTTTCGAAAGTTCGTGCTTCTGAAATAACTGACATACTTCATTCATATATTCTTAATAGGCTCAACCTTAATTTTTTTGAAGTAAACATTAAGGTTTCCGCCTTACAGGCTAATCCTGGTGCAATTGCCATCCATGTTTCAAAATTTGGCCCTGTTCTGGCTGACTGCTTGAAGGATGGAAATACACCTGTGAGACTCGCTGCAGAGAGATGCGCACTACATGCCTTTCAGTTGGCAAAGGGTATTACCTCTGTATTATCTGTTCTGTTGCATCTCTAATTGAGATGACTGTAGTCCTTTTCTGATTCTAATATGAATCTCTCTTCAATCCTGTCCTTGGTCATATATTTTGCTGGAATGCTTGTTAAGCTGCTTCTGGTACTTGCTAATCCTTTTTACATAGATTTTAAGTAATGTATACCGTCAGTGTACGAAATTTTTACACTAATAGGTCACCTTTACGTGTTATAGCAAATCCTATATTTTAAGGAGGCTTACCTGTAGTATGTAGATATTCTTTGTGTGACTTGATAGTGTAAAAAATCTTTACACTGACAATGTACAAAACTTTAATTCTTTTACATATGTGTTTGGCATTTTCGTTGTAACGCTTAGAAAGCTGCTGCTTCTAGTGCTTGCTAATCCTTTTCAATTTAATAGTTCTCTGGAGCTGGCATGGTAAGCGTCTCAACGTTCCTTTCTTGGTGTTTGCAGGTACAGAAAATGTTCAAGCTGCGCAGAAGTTTATGACAGGCTTGGATGCTAGACGAATAGCAAAGCTCCCTGAACACAGGTGAAGTGTTTTTAATTACTCCAGATCTGTAGCCTACTGTTTGCAGATTGTTGCTTTGGATATGCTATTCTGAATTTATCTGTTGCATTATGGTTTAATGTCTTACCATTGTAAGTACAACATCTCTGTATTATTGAGATTCATTGTGATTTATCCTTGCATAAATCTCAATAATGCAGCTATTAACCATTATTTATCCATTTTATAAAGTGTTGTGCAATGCTGGCCTCTCTTTCTCTCTTCAAATTCCACAGTTCAGAAAAGAGGATTTGTTTAAATAATCCTCCAAGAATGTCACTCTGGTCATCTAAAGTAATGTTTCTTAAATATTATTCTGCTTCTTCGAAGATTGAATCTAGAGAATCTTTATATGATAAAGATTAAATCGAGCTCGTATTTGACTAACAAATAACAACAGTAAGTTTGAAATCCTTTTTCTTTTTGTGAGAAATTTCCAATGCATATACTAAGATGTTTTTTTTTTGCATGCAGAAGGTGAGTTAGTCTGTTCATTTTATGTTATTGAAACAGCTCGTTTGTCTGACAATAAAAGCATCGAGGAAGCTGAATGATTTTTTGTTCTTTTAATCCCCTCCCCCCGCGAGGGCTCTTTTTGTTCTATTCTGATGATGTCTAGGAGAGAAAAAATGGTAAGCTGGAAATAAAACGCTTTAAATAATTTAGGCCAAATACATAAGCAGGCACCTAAACTTGGCACCGTTTTTCGCTTAGATACCTAAAGTTAGGCCTGTTCCTATTAGACACTCATATTACTTCTGAAGTGTGTCTATTTAACAAATACAGCTGACATGTCATATTGTGTGAACAATACTTCTCTTGAGCGCGTGAAGAGCCAAAGAAAATTTTTGTTTTAACTAAAATTTTATTTTTTAGCTATTCTTCATCAAAAATCCACCACAGCCACTCCTTAAAATCTCCAATTCCATTCTTTACAGAAGATCCTGGGGAACAATTGCAAAGAATCACTTTTTGAAAATTTCCTTAGCTTACTCTCAAATTTTCTTGGTCATAGCGCTGTCAAAGTTGTCATTGACAGAATTGGGATCGCCGGCAAGATTTTCCCATCAAACTCGGTGGTTATCTGATTTGATTTTTGAAGGAGCGTGTAATTTTTAAGATGTTTCTGAAATGAGGAAATAAGAATGGAAGAAAGGAGAGAGATTGTCGGAGGTTGTAGTACAAGATCGTCGGAGAATAAATTTTCAGCTAAGATCGAGGTTTTCCGGCGGTTGCTGTTAGTCGGACTTTCTTTTTTGCTGCTTATTGCTATGGTTCTTCTCTGGTTGTAAAAGCGTTTTATAGCGGGTTTTTAAATTTTTCTATTGAAATCAATATGAGAGATGAAGGAAGTGCTAAGGTTATAACTGATTGAAGATTTTTGTTTCTGGTGGGTATGTGAAATAATGGTGGTGTTGGTGATTCTCTATGGGGGTTTTGGTGGTCTGACAACAATGGTGAAGGAAGAAGAATTGGGATGCAACTGGGTTTTGTTCCCCGAGGGGGAGAGGGGAGGCGGGAGGGGGAATTTTAGCGAAAATATTTTTTTCCTCAAAACAAATTTTAATAGTGATTTAGGGTCAAAATAACACGTCTTCATTTCATTCGTTGATTTGCCATGTCATCCGCGAGTGGATTACACTCACTTTGTTTCTCCTTGTGATGGTCAATTAGGTGTTCAATAGACACATATTGAATATACTCGAAGTGTGTAATAGGAACAAGCCCAACTTTAATTGTCTAAGTGAAAAGCGGTGCCAAGTTTAGGTGCCTGCTTATGTATTTGTCCAAGAATTTAGCAAAGATTTTTAGCTCATCAGGACAACCTGAGAGCATTTAGTATAGTTTTAGATTTTGGAAAATCTTTCTGCTGAAGTCCTGTGCAAGAATTGCTTGCCTGTCAATGTTCTTAGAATTTTATTTATGTTCGTTTAAAAGGTGCTTCTAGGATACCCTGTTTTTGCAAGTTCTTCTAGGTTACCTTTAAACATCTAAAATGATTTCTCAGAAGCTCTCACAATCACTCCATCGGTATATTATTTACTTATGTTTCATTTAGTGTTTCCTGGACTGTAAGGAAATAATATTTGACATAGCTCGCATCTTGTGGTACAAGAGACACTGATTAGACTTTCCTTGGTTTAAGGTAATGTATTTTCCTGTGGATCTCTCCTGGATTTGATGTCCGCTCTCCTCTCGATTGCAATTAGTGTTAACTATTTGGGGCGGTATAAGGTTCCTATCTCAACCCTCACAGACCAATCTATAGATTTTCCTTTGCTTCTAATCCAGAGTGAGAATTTTGTCGTTTTTTTTATAATCAAGAAATCATCCAACTGCGAATCGTTCAAAACTCGCTGGTAATGCCCCGCTCCTGTACCCTTTTCCACTTAAATACTAGGCTTTTAGTCCAAAACAAGATTTGAACTCATGATGTACTAGGTCCACACATAACGTTTTTTGGCTCTTTCCGCAGAACCAAATCCCGGGGGCATTCTGTCGTTCTTGTCTCAGCTTATTTATTCTGTGCGCACCTTTTGGCATTTATTTTATCTTCTTGTAGTTGGTTAGCTGCGCCATTAACTGGCTCGTGATATTCTGGCTGTTTTCCTGTGCAGTGATGACAGTGGAGATAGCGACAATGACACCTCAAGTGGCTGACAAGCTTATGACTGTACAGCACTTTTTTGCCTTCAAATTACTTTAACCTTAAGGGGTCAATGAGGCAAGGAAGTTGGAAGCGGAAATTTTGCTTGAGATTTGATATTTACAGTAACCATCACATACATATATAGATGCGTAAGCAAATAAGGATGAGTTTCATATTTGCCAAATTTTGACACCGAGTGGATTGTTGCTTACCTTTTGTAGTTGTGTATTATTGAAATTGAATTGCCCTTGAAAAAGGAAGGGAGCTCGCATTCATGTATAAATTTTGTAAATTTTCTACAGATATAGTAAATCACCGTCTTCATTTCCACCGAGATGCTATCCATTTTTCCTTTCAGTGGCGCAACTTTTGTGCTACGAATTTATCCACTTTGATGACTAGTATAGACTAGAGAAGCAAGACTAATAGGGGAAGTATATTAAGGAAGGTTGACAGGGTTCCTTTCATTGAGATTCAATTCTGGTATAAACTTTATTGTTATCTCTAATTTCTGGAGAGGACATGTCATTACAGTGCAGGTATCACTTCCAGAAAAAACTGTTTTGTGCTTGTTATTCACGTATGAAGAAATATAAGACTGTTGTTCAATAATGGTAGGATAAAGACTTCCTCAAATGAATTCATTCCTCAGCATTTATCTTTCATCCGTGAGTTAGCACTTTACATTCATTTGTGCAGTTTAACGTATTCCAGCTTCCCTTTTTTAATTTATCTATAATCAGTTAAGTAATGCTCCCTCGGTTTCAATTTTGGTGAACTTATTCCTTTTTTAATCCACTTGAAAAGCAATGATCCTATTCTAAATTTGTAAACATTATAACTCAAACTTGCCATTTTAACCTTGATGAGATGTTTTTGTAGTCTCAGAGATTTAAAACAATAAATTTCGAAAGTCATGTTTTTTCAGAATTCAAACCCAATTAAATAAGTTCCCATAAATTGAAATAATGGGAATAACAGTGTCATTGGTTCTGTTTCCCGTATTACTCTAACTGGTGGGGGTGGTTGAAGCTAGGGATGCTGTCCAGCAGCATTTTCTACTTACTGTTGTGCTTTCAATTTGAAAATAAAGGTCACGGAGGTATATCGCTAATCGTAATGAGAAGTGAAACATGTTCATTTTTTGTTTGTATTACCCTTTCTCATAGGCCTTGCTCTTTGATAAAGCAGTGTTCAAGAATAGTTGTTCCTAATGACTAAGAACTGATTTAATTGCAAAATTAAATTTGGATTTGGAGTTAAAATTACTCCTTCCGTTAAATTTTATGTGTTCTGGTTTAATTAAGCACAAAGTTTAAATGTAAAGAATGATATTTGAATCTTGTGGTCTTAAACTAAAAATGTATATAACATATCAAAATAATCTTTCAATATTGTAATCTTAAAACACTAATGATCACTTGGTGTAATTTGGCAATGAATTTGTAGCTCGATGACATCCCTTATTAGAAACATCGGTGACACTAATGTATATGGTGATCATGCAAAAACAAACACACTGCACCTTTTTAGTTTTTACTCAAGTGGTATTTGGTTTCGTGTCTACTCCGTTGAATGGATGGAGTGAAGATGGCCTTTTCAAATATTTGGTGAATATTAATAAAAAGCCCTTTTGATTGGTAGAAAAATAATTGAGGCAAACTTAAAATTGGTGTTTTTGAAATTGCTTCAGGATACTGATGTTGAGAAATTATCGAAAACATTACTTGCACACTAGACAGTAAAAGGTAGCAAGTGTTACCATTCAAATACACGAGCTTCTATTCATTAGGCTTCCTATCAAGGCAAATTAGCTATCACGACCTAATACGTGATCGTAGACTATGCTTTGAAATCTCAAAAGTATCATATTACATAGTTCACCTTTACTTGTCCTAATACGTGATCTCCCTATAAAATACTAAGCATTTTGAATATGCGTATGCAAGTATCGCGCTTTTATAAAAAACAAGCACTCAACAAGTTAAATTTCTCACTTACCTCGAACGCTGTAAGTTTCCCAAACGGGTAAATCTAATATCTCCTCTCAAACGACTTCCAATGGTCTCAATTTATGAGAAATTAGAAAATTTGTCCACGCTTCGCAAAGTCATAAAGGACCTTATTGAACTTACAAATAAAATGATCTTTCCCAACGAATAAACAAAGAAATAAATTCTTGTAAAACCTCAAATATTGAGAATACTCCACACATAAATTAAGTGAAAGGACCATAACACCTATAATGTGGAAAGAAATTGGGATAAGATGGAAACATATTTATCTAATAGAAAATTTCCATCTAAAAAGTGAAATATCCCGTGGTGTGAATATATGTATACTACTTAATTAAGATATAAATATAAAGTACACCGGATCTGACAAAGATAAATATGAATTGCCTTCTCAAATGCATGTTGATTATAATAATCAAGCATCAATTTATTCTATTTTTCTCTATTAAAACTATAAAACCTTCAACTTCACGATGTGAAGAATACCGTATTCGCGTTCTCAAGAACTTCATTGATAAGAAGTTCTCCTGAAATCAGTTCCAATTCAAATTAATGATGAGAATACATAAGCAGAAGATCCAAACTTGTACTTGAGGGTCATTTGACTCATTTTTTAGAATATTTACATATCAATTTCACCTTAATTTGCAAGTGAGTATATTAAAACTTAAACTTTTTCAAGCATTAAATCTCCCTATCAAAACAAAGATAATATTATTCAAGAAAAAATATAACTATTGAGAGAGAAAAATACATGTACTTCATGCACCGCTTACACATATGAATATTTTGCTAATCGATTTTTATTCTTAGGAGTAGAATTACACAACGACAAAAAATCGCAGCTATATTCCAATCAATTTTTGTAGCCTTTTAAATACATGATCGGATAATATTTATACGATAAGCCAAGCTCTTCAATAAACCAAAATACTAAGGTAGATCACAAGGAAAAAGAAGACAAACAAATCCGCATACACAAAACAACTGATGATGAATTCTCCTTATTATTTTGTTCAAAATCTCATCACTGCAAAATGCCTAAAATCAGATAGATAATCGTCAGTTAGTCAATTATTTTTGAAGAGAAATGCTAATAGTTAACAGATTCAACAATAAAGAAATACACTTGAGAAGTTTAAAAACTAAAGCATGTAAAATATAGAATCAAACCAAAAAACAAAAGAAAGGAAAGTAAATAGATAGAGTTGTTGAAACCCTCAATTTCTCCTACCCACGACTCGCGGATGTAATCCCTTGTGATACGGAGTTTAAATGGAAAAGCTTGCGGGAGTTGTACATTGTGCTGCTTAGCTGAGACCTAACAGTTAATTAGTTGAGATTTAAGAGTTTTAGAGTTGTTTACTTAAGTACCCCACCTTTTAAATTAGAAGTCCTTTTAATTACACATTGACCCCTTAATTTTCCTGTTATACCAATCGAGTCCTGCCCAGAATTGTACTGAGATGGTAGATATAGTAGAATTATCCAGCTGTAATCCTTAGGTCATTTTCATGGTTTTATGCTTCATATAGGCTGTAATTATCCCCTTTTGGGTTATGAATGAAAAAGCCTCTTTACTTTTGCCCTAGTTTATCTTGCATTCCCTTTTCTTTCCTTTTTCTCTTCTTTTTTCCAATTTCGTCACTGTTTTATTGCACTGCATATCGGTGGTATCAGAGCAAGTCTTGGCTCTGTGGACAACCATGGCTGATAACAACAGCAATGTTATGGAGGTGCTTAAGAAAATCTCACTTGATATGTCAAGCTTCACAGCTAGACAAGATCTGCTAGAGGCAAATCAAGAGCAGAGTAACAAAAACCAAGAGGAAGCTTTGAGTGAGCTTAGGGAGGTGCTCAATGAAGTTATTCATGGAGGGAAGAGACCTGAACGTGACAAATATGTGTCTCAAAGGGGAGGTGAGCTCTATTCTCCAAACGATAAACCCTTTGATTTTGGTGATTTAGCTTCTCCTAGCTCCCATGGAGTTAATATATCAGCCCTACCTGCAAACCTTCCTGCTACTAGCTCAGTTATTCCAAGTTCTCAAACCCAAATGACCACCAACTTAACAACCTCAGCTCCTCCAATTCCCATAAACCCTAACCCTTCTCTACACACTCAGAATCCCAGAACCACTCAGCTTCAATCTTCTTATTTCCCAGCTATGGGGTTACAGTCCTTCCAAAACCCTTTTTCCAGAACAGCCGTACCCTTAGCACCTCGCTTCCCTAATCACCAAGGAAGGTATTATCCAACCCCACAACCTCAAGGCTCGTCACTAGTTCCACCACCCCTATACCAGCAGACATATAACTAACCCAGTCAGTTTCCTTCTGCCTATTATAATCCAAATGCACATATACCACCACCCTTATACCATCAGACTCCATATGTATCCACTCCTTATCCCTATCATAATGTTCCCACCACCAACTCATTCCACAACCCAAGCACTCATAATGTGACACTGTCAAATATCCCTTTTACTAAGTACCACAAAGTTGAGTTTCCTAAGTTCAATGGAGAAGATCTTAGGACATGGTTACAAGGTAGAGCAATTTTTTTCTGATGAAGATCTTACTATCCAGCAAAAAATGAAGTTAGTCTCTATGCATTTGAAGGAGATGCTCTGCAATGGCATTTAGGCTATATGAGGAGTAGGGGACAAATGCCACTTCCTACATGGGATGAGTATTTGTGGGCTTTATGTGATAGTTTTAGAGCTGAATACTCTGATCCTATGACAGAGGTTATGAACATCAAGCACACTGGGAGTGTGAAAGATTACCAAAAGGCTTTTAATAGTGTCATGACTAGGATGAATCTGTCAGTTGAGCATGCTGTCAGTATATTCCTCAATAACCTCAAGCCTGAAATCAGTAATGCGGTGAGAATAGACAATCCTTCCAGCTTACCACAAGCATACTACCTAGCTAGACTGCTTGAAGCAAGCTTTATTGCACAGAGCAAAGCAATTGAGGCAGCTTCTACAGTGCATCAACACTCTGCTGCAAGGATACCTCAAGGTCAAGGCTCTACTGGGTGGACAAAGGCTGCTACCTAAACCTACAGACCACCTGTTACTGCCAATTTAGATGGCTTCAGGAAAAGAAGACTTACCCCAGCTGAAATGGAGGAGAAAAGGGCCCAAGGCCTATGTTTTTTCTGTGATGACAAGTTCACACCAGGACATAAATGTAAGGCCAAAAGGCACATATACTCCATGGAGATAAATGCTGAAGTACCAGAAGATGATGAGGAACCAGGGTGGAAGTGGAGGATACTGGGGAGTCTCAAGAAGCAGAAAATCCTGTT